CTAAGAAAAGGCCCTCAAAAGTCACATTTGGGTTTCAGGGCTGAAAATTTTATTGTCAAGTACATTTATTTTTTTCAAAAAAATAAAATAAGTGTGTGTAATTTCTTAAAAAAATATTTAGGTGGATTTTATTGCTTTGAACAGAGCTGAGAGCTGTGTTTCATGTTTCCTTTTCTTGACCTTTTGCTATAAGTATAAGTTTCCCAAATGTTGAACTGTTGCTTTTAATTTTATTAATTTAAGCATCCCAACAGTACAGTACTCTAAATCACCACACTTTACAGTAAGAGCTTATAAACGGGACAGGTGGTAGCTAAATTGTGTCTATATTTTGCTAAAAGAGAGAAGGCATATTTAATGGTTTCAGTGCTTATGTATATGTGTGTGTGTACAACCATGGTTTCCACAGCAGACGCAGCTGTCCGGCCTGGAGGACTGAGCCTATGTCACTGTAACTCTATTTTGGGAACCTGTGTTGTCCAAAAGGTCAGATAAAGAAGCACAGGAATCCTTACAAAGCAGAGGGCGGGGGTGTCGGGTGAAGGCGGATATTCACAAACCAACACACACACACATACGTGTTAAAACTCAGGACAGTGTTGCTGAGAAGGGGAGAAAGGCAGACAGGAGTAGTGGGACACAGAGACATTAAGAGGGGCTTTCACCTTTGACTGAATTAAAACGTTAGTGTACCAAAGTCTGATCTGACCTCTAATCCAGCTGATACACACACATTTATGGACACCATGGATGGAGAATCACCCAAACAGGACACATTCGATTCCACGGAATCAACCAATCCCACTGACACCAACAACAACAGCAACCAGGTCTGTATCATTTATTTATTTATTTAACATGTTCATTAACATTTTCACATTCACCCACAATGACTGTCCATCATGTTCTGTACTGGGAAAAAGCAGTGAGAGTGTTCGTGGCTGTAGCAGGTGCTGTGTTGGGACAGCAGAGCGGGAGAAGGGGTTGTTGGCTGCATTTGCTACACCTGTTCTTACTACTGGCTGAAGAATGACACATACACACGTAAATACACACTCACACAAGTTATGCAAAGTAGTGCACATGACACACACTAAGCCACACATACAACGTTGGAGTTTCCTTTTCCCACTGATGAGTCACTGCTGTGATGCCTGACCTGGTGTGTCATTAATAAACAGGGTACATGGGCCTATTTAATCATGAGGAAATAATAATGTATGCATTACATTTTTTTTGTATGAAGATTTTTAACATATGATGTGAGATCATTGGTTTTAAAACTGTAAAAGGCCAATTTTCCCCTTGAAAGTTCCAACTCTGAGGTGTATATTTATAATACTCAACAAATCCCAGAGCTCCAGGTCTCACATTACAAGGACTGTGTTATCCCTCGAGTAACTTGTGGAAAGTCCACTTTATTTATACAGCAGCTTTCATGTAAACAGCTCAAACGTTTCACATAGCAAGACCAAGAACTGAAGAACACAGAAAAATCACAAAGAATAATTTTAAAAATACAAATCAGAGTTAATGAAAGAAATACCTAAAAAAAAATACAACACACAGCAAATGAACTAATGGCTCGCATTACAAATCTGAAATAAATAAAATAAAAAACACAATAAACTTTTGTTCATTCTTCATACATTTTTTCATGAAAGAAACAGAAAAAATCCTCTTTACAAGACTGAAAAGAAGAAGATAGTTATCAGAGATGTAAATAACTGAAAGAAAAGAGGAAGACTATCCTCTGAGTCATGCTGAAAAGAAAACATGTGATGTAGTGCCCCCACAGAGAAATGACTATGAAGAAGCTTTTCCCTTCTTCACAAGGGGTCACCACAGCGGGTAAATCTGGATCTCTGATCTGGCAAAATTCTATATGGGATACCCTTCTTCACCCAAACCCAGGGAAAGGAAATAGCAAAGAAAATTACTGTGTAACCTACACTGTTACTTATACTGAATACTCCACCTTAAACTCCACTTTGTCTTGATGCCTTGGTATAAGGCTAGAATTTAGAAGTGATAGAACTATTGTCACAGACATGTATTACGAGTGTTTGTCACATATTTATTTTTGCACAGGCCGGCGAGCCAGAGGTGGAGAATAAAGACTTGGGGGAAGGAGCAGAAGGTCAGAGGGTAATGGAGACTGAGGATAAGGCTGAGGAAGATACTGTATCAGAAGAGGCAGAAAAGGAGACGTCAGGAGACACAAAGAAACCTCAGACTGTGTCACAGTCTGGTGAAGATGATACTGAAGCAGCTGCACAAGATAAGGAGAAAGCATCTACTGGTGCTGAGGTGAAGGATTCTGAACGTGAAGGAAAAGATAAAGAGGAGGATGCAGAAGAAACCGAGAAAGGAGGGCAAGTGGCAGAGATCCAGAGTAGTGAGACTGGAAAAGATGGAGAGGACATGAAGGACAAAGAGAAAGAGAAAAAGGAAATAGGTAAAGATGTGAAAGAACAAGAGGCAGAGAAGAAAAAACAAGTGACAGAGGAAGATGCAGAGCCAAAGGACAAAGGAAAGACAAAAGAAGCAGAAAAGCAGGCAAAGCCCAAAAGAAAGAGTGGTCCCCCCTCCTCTTCTCTCTCTCGACCAAGACCCTCTGCACGCTCCATAAGAGCATCTGCTAAAAACGACATCATCGCCAAGTTCCAGAAGGGCGCACCAGAGTGAGTAACTACATGATGCTTAGTACCTCAAATTAGAGTGTGACAGTTAAAAATGTTCCTCAAGAGGTTAAATCAGAAACTGTGTTGCAACACTGCTAGGACACCAATACCTCGCAACTTCAAGATTCAGAAGTCATCTGCTGCTGTGGCTACAGGAGCTTCAATCAAACAGAAGATACTTCAGTGGTGTCGCAACAAGACTCGGAACTACGAGGTGAGCTCAGCGTTAAATCTTTATCTAATGCGACACATCCGCATTCTAGATCCAGAGATAAAAGAAGACCTAATTTAAGATGCTCTTCCCATGTGTCTGTCTCTTGCATTTTTTAGGGCATCAACATAGAAAACTTCTCGTCATCCTGGTGCAATGGGATGGCATTCTGCGCTCTGATTCATCGTTTCTTTCCAGATGCTTTTGAATACAGCTCACTGAAGCCAGAGGAGAGGGAGAAAAACTTCACTCTGGCCTTCAAAACTGCAGAGTATGGATTTCTTCATTCTTTCTTCTCTCAGTTCAGTTCAGCTAAGACTGAATAACACAATTACAATATTTAAGAGTCGGAACTTTACATGCAGAACATAATATAACAAGGTCACGGTGAATAATACAAAAGGAGAACTGCTGTGAAAAGAATGTAACTAAAATAAAATTCTGCATGTTGGCTGTCCAAAAAAGAAAGTTTCAGGAAAACAATGTATGGAATGACACTGTTAATGTAAATGCACCTGGTTAGAAATCTCTTATTCATATTACTATGAATCACTGCCACCTTGTCACCTCAACTTTATCCTTTCCCCTCCTTTGTGTATCCCTGACAGGTCCTTGGCTGACTGCTGCCCTCTGCTGGAAGTGAGTGACATGCTCATGATGGGTAACAACCCAGACCCAATGTGTGTGTTCACATATGTCCAGTCCCTGTGCCACAGCCTCTCCAAAATAGAGAAAGAGAGGAAGGACAAAGAGAAGGGGGAGAAAGAGAAGGCTGGTAACGAGGAGGAAGAGAAGGACAAAGGAGATGATGCAGCAGGAGAGGTGTCGCCAGAGAAAGATGAGGAAGAGTCTGCTGAGAACGAGACGATGAGCAGTCAGGAGGATAAACCAGTAGACGGTACAGAGATGGAGGGCACTAATGAGGAAGGGAGTCCATCAAAGAGCTGTGTGGTGGAGGAAGGTCAGAGTTCATCAGTCGAGGCAGAGTCTTAGACAGACACTGGCAAACACAAAGACTGAAAAGACCAAAAAGATTGTTTATGGTACTACAAGGAGCAAGTCTTAGTCTGGCATTGTTGGACTGACTACTGTCGGAGTAATGAGGTACAACAAAAAAATCACTCAAAACTAAAATACTTGTGATGATGATGTCTCGTAGTTACAGCGTGTTTGAAAATGTACTTCTGTGTGTGTTTTTTCCATTTACAGATATGCTGTTTTTTATGTTGTTCTGAGCACGAAAAGCAAGAAATTGCTGTGTATCTATGAAAAAATAACAATGAAACAAAGATCTTGTGAATTAAAAAGCTGCTTGTGCAATAAGAAAACCTTGAGAGAGTGTGTGCCGTATTTACTTTTTTCATAATACACATGAAAAGGTTAAACTATTTCTGGTCAGATGTTAAAATTTTGAGTTGTTCAAGATTGTTACTGTGAACAAGGTAACAGTGGGGAGGGGGTTATGACACTGTGAAAGATTGTGCGGGCAAATGTTCAGGGTTTTCAGGCAGACAAAAGATGCTACAAGAGCTGTGAAAAGCTTCCAAAAGAAAAGTTGGTCTGCTAATGCAATTTATAACACTATCCTCCATTAAATTGAATGTAAACAACACCCCAAAGCAGGTTTCTCTGGGCCAGAGCTTATTTAAGAGGGCCAGAGACCAAGTGTAGGTCTATCCAATTCAAATTTAATATTGATTTTGTTAATCGTAGATCCCCCACATCCCCCAAACTAAAGCGGAAAGCGAACAGCTATCATTACTCCTGTGATGGTACTGGGGAAACATTAATCTATATAGATGAGGTAACTCCCCCTCACATGTGAAGTCATCATTATGTTTAAATATGTGGAGAGACATGTTCTTTCCTGGAAGGCCTTTTAAAAATGTAAACCCATTGAAACAATTCGCTGTATCGAAACAAACTAATACCACAAAGCCAACTGTTGAGCAACTAAAACTATATCAACCAAGAATTGCCTTCAAAACTACAGAAATTGGTTTCTTCAAACAAACATCATCACCAGCCAAGCATCACCCCCCAGTGTCCCTGCTTTCTGGGTATTACGGTAATCAGCATCATGCTACCAGGAAGGCCATTGTGTTGTCTCTTTTGTTAAGCTAACCTACTGACCGTGTTGCGCCCTTTTTTCAACACAAATCTCGGTGGCAGCAAAGTGAAACATGTCCACAAACATGCCACCGGGGAGCCTGAATCTGGAGTCACAGCTTTTGTCCATTATGGACGTGCTGGTGAAAGCGGCGGTGGCAGAAATCAGCCAGCTGTTCTCGGAGAGCTCGGCGTCTCTCCGTCTGCATTTAACCCAGAGCTTGAAGGAAAACGAAAACCTGAGGACGAGGATGAAGGTTATGAGGAGTGAGCTCTTCTCCCTCAGGCTACAAACCAGAACTAATCGACCAGCGAGCCGCTTTTCTCCCATCAGAGGAAACATAACCAAACCACGAGCTAAGCCACAAGGTAACGATACTTTCACTTTAAAAGTACTTCATACTCGAGTAACAAATAACATTCCGCCCCCGCCATTTATATAATTAACTATTAAATACCCACCGCTAGTTACTTCAAACTAATAACGTATAAAACAGCTGTTTTAGCTAGTTTAACGAGTTGATTATGAAAATGCAGATGTGCGGAGTAGTATCGCGCATCAGACACAGCTGGCCCTGGTCATGTGACACAGATAACAGAACCAGCGGGTTTTTTATTGTGGTGATAAAAGTTTATTCGGCTTATTAAATGTGAATTCACTCACTTACTTAAACTTAATAATGGTCAGCTAAACCGAAACGTAAACAAATAAACAAATACACAAATAAATAAAGACACATTTCGATACGCTCATTCAAAGCCTCAGTCTAAAATAATTGTTAAGTGGAATTTCCGCTTAAAGTATGTGATGCTGAATTATAACAAGTCCAACCTCAACTCAGAACATGTGTCTGTCCCTTTAAATACATTTAGTCTTCACCACAATCAACCCATAAAGAATCAAAGACTCAGGTACACAGGTTATTTATGGACATATTCTATGTTATCATAAATCACTAATACGATGAATTAAAAATCAATGTATATTATGGTTTTATATTTTTACAAATGCTTTATATACTTATTTATATACATATATATATTTAGTGGTATACCTTGTGTTGTGTGTGTGTGTGTGGGGGGGAGTTGTGTGTGTGTGTTTCTTGTCTTGTTTTTATGGACATGTAGTCTGCCAATAAAGATTGAATTGAATTGAATTGAATTGAATGTCTTACATGATCTTTCATATTACATTTCCTTTATAGACATTCTTTTTAAAGGAAAAGTAATGTTTTGTCACTTTTATTGTGTTCACTGTCAGGTAATTGAGTGGCGTAAACCACAGAGACCGTAGAGAAATGCCATTAATTCCCTGAGTTTTAAGTTCCATATCATATTTGGTGTCGACATGTCAACTTGTTTTTTTTGCAGACACAGAACATAAACAGATTTCCCTAACATTTGTTATCTCTCATTAATTGACTCTTTTACTCTCTGCATGAATCTGAGGGTTGATTAATAGCATACCGACTTTATATCAAGCTTAAAGTCAGAGCTGTCTGTGTCTCAAAAGTGTCTGAATTGCTTAATTAATAATTTTCTGCAGCATTAATCCTTTTCTTAGTTTACAGTTTTATTTTTTATGCAATTCACTTCAATTTTGAATTCAGTCTTATGTGCATAGCTCCAAATCACAGCAACTGTGAGCTCAAGGCACTTAATTAATGTCTTTTTTATCACTATTTTATCATCATCCTCTGACAAGACCTTTGACTGGAGTAGGCGACACTCATAGGGATCATTTTGTGCAAAGAGGAATCATATGACATGTGAAACACTCATTTTTCTGTGAGCGCACACAGAGCCTGCTTTTGTGATGCTTGTTATCTCCGCTGGGGGTATTAGGTGTTATTGAGCCAGCTAATGCAAAGAAAACCTGGCTGTGTTGAACTTCCTTCATTTTATTCCTGTCAGCTCGTTTCAGCAAACACATGTGACACCAACAGGGAAGTTGCCTCCCCCCCGTCTATTCTTGACTCTTAAAATCTTTCGTTTTCAGCTCATATAAATACTGATACCAACAGATGAACAAATAGCTAACTGAAAGTAAATCAAATATTTAATAAAAATATGGAGGACTTGTCCATATTTGGTATTACAAACTGTGCAGTAAGGCTTTGGTGCAAATATTTGTTGAGACCAGGATGTCTAAATGACTGTGACTCACCTCTTCAAAAGTACTGTGTTTAGTTCAGGTTTTGATCAATCTTGAGGTAAAAGTAACACAGAAACTAGTTATAAAAACTAACCATTTTCTGAAATCAAACCAAACTGAACTGAGGGTATAAACTCAAAAAAGAAATAATATTAGAAATATTAAAAAATGATCAGCTGTAATATCTCTGGGCTGCACAATATGAGGAACCTGCATAGTGCTGCAAAATTGTTCTGTATTTTAAAGACTTTAAAAGCTTACAGTTTCTTCTGCTTATCTAGTTCAGGGTTGCAGGGAAAACTTTTACATTTAGACTGTAGGTGTGACAATGAATCTAATCTCTGGACTGTGGGTGAAAACTAGAGTACCTGTAAAGAACCCACGCAGAAAGAACACACAAACTCCACATAGTCTGAATTCAAAGCAGGATCGTCTTGCTGTGAGATGACAATGCTGACCACTGCACCACCAGGCCTGTCACACTCTATAAGTGTCAGCGAATAAAAATGCTTTGAAGCGTGCATATTCAGTGTGGCTCTGTAGTTCAGTGATTTATACATTCACTAGCATTGCAGTTAACATTGCTTTAAATAAAACTAACCACCACAAGTCTTTCCTGGGTGGTGCAACAGTACAGCTAATAAAACAGTTGTGGGTTTGAGGACAGTAAAGGTATGATTGTTGCTCTTCTGTGACTACATCAACACCATCTGTGGTCACAGTTATTTAAGTTACCCTCAAAGTAGTAGGGTCCTGAGTTCAAATCTGTGCTTATCTGGGGACAGGACACTCTCGCAAAAGACATTCCTAATCTAAGGAGTTTCACTTCCTGGTTAAATAAAGATTAATGAATAATAAAAATGTATTTTCCTTTTCTTCTTCAGTTCTCATCAAATCACAAGTGGCTCAAAAGGCGGGTGGGGAAGCTGCTTCTATCCTCCTGCAGTCGGAGAAAAAGACCACCTCCTCAGCAGCTCAAGTGCAGGTACATGCAGTCCATAAATGAATAGCAGTAGCTCTGTTTGAAATCTAGTTTGCTCATGCATAGCTGTCCTTAATGTGCTAGTGTGCAGATGTGGAGAGTCCAGATGTCATTCTAATCAAAGATGAGGATGATGTGGGTGGATGTGGGCCAGATGTTGGTGGTGAGTAGGATTTTTAAGTGAGCTTAAAGGGCTGATTAATTATTATTTTTATTTGTATTTTATGTCTTTACTTGTCATCACTACAGCTCACAGATTCTAAAAGCCTAGATTGTCTATCTTCTATCTTAGGGCTGAAAAACAATTATACCAGGCAAGCCGAGAATAGGAGGAAGAAAGTAGATCAGACGTCAAGCATCTGATAGAAAGTCTCTCTTTCTAAATTACACACAAGCAGTTCCTCATTGATGAGTGCTGAGTAAGACTGGCCTAAGCGCTTCTGTTTCATAGTGGCCTTTAAAGATGCTATTCTCTGTCTTTTCAGATCAGGGTGACTTTAGAAACCACAGTCTGCAGGGCGGTGTTGCAACAGGAGCTCAGAATTTGGAGCCAGCTGGTTCCTCTTGCTCGACAGGTGATAACGAGGAGCTGAGAATCGTGTGCGTTCACGGCCGAGGCGAAGGGCCTCTACAGGATGAAAGTGACACCCTCTTCTCTGCGTCTGAGCTTCAGGCTTTTAGCTCTCTGTCTGACCACAACGTCGGCCACGACAACCTCCTGAATTTCACCACTGGCGCAAGTGACAGAGCTCCAATGAGAGTCACACAGGATAACAGTGCCGGACTGGTGAGAAACAACCAACTTGAAAGAAATAATTCCACACAAATGGCTCCGACAGCATTGAACCCTGGATTGAAATCGCCACTAGTAGTAACTGAGGGTCAAGTGGGGCACCCCAGCCACATGAGCCAGTTCCCACAGCAGCAGAACGTCTTCCCTCACACCGCCAACAAATCCCTGGACTGCAACTTCTGTGGCGAGCGCTTCCACAGCCGCGAAGACCTCATCGTACATCGCGCGAGTCACACCGGGGAGTCTCCGGTCCCTTGCTCTCTGTGCGGCAAGTCGTTTGTCAACAAGACCACACTTAGCATCCACATGCGCATTCACACGGGCGAGAAGCCGTACGCATGTGCGCAATGTGGAAAACGCTTCACGCAGAACGGCAGTCTGAAGATCCACCTGCGGACACACTCCGGAGAGAAGCCGTACACCTGCAGTCAGTGCACAGCCAGTTTCAACAACCCCAGCAACCTTCGCAGACACATGATCACACACACCAACGGGGCGCTCTGACCCCAACGAACTAGAAAGACTTGATAGACTTTGCAGTTTAGAAGCACTTTTACTGTCATTTGTGCCACAGTGTAAAACTGTTTTGGATCACGCGCACTTGTAGATTCCAGATACGCTGACACAAACGCTGTTCAGATTTTTTAACTATAGGAAAACCGGCTTTCTATTCTCGAGCGTGCACAACAGATCCTCAAATGAAGACACTGAAATAAAGAACCATGTCACAGTTAGCAGTGGGTGACTGTGGATTACTTCTGTTTTGGTCTATGTTATTTCAAAATGGGATATCAATTATCATTTAAAGCTTGGACCACAAAATAATTGCCAGAAAATGTTTAATGAAATTATTGAACATTCGGACAAGTTTTTAAAAATAATATTTGAATACTAATTTGCATATATGAGTTTAACTTTGTTTCATATTTGCTCGTTTTTTGCGTTAGTACCTTAAAAATGTCATGCGCAATTTATTTAGGTTTGTCAGGGGGAAGATTACACTAGAAATCTCAGAAATTGCTGTCAAATATGATACGCTACGCATTAAGGGGTTAAAGTCTATTTTATAGCAGACTTCTGTATCGATAAAGTACCACGACAAGACTGTTTGTGGCCAGATTTGAGCATTTCTGAATTTTATTTATGCACCACATTTAATACAGTGTTATAAAGCATTCCAGCTCAATGATTTGCCCACTGCAGCAAACTGATATATATTAAATTAATGTTTTCTGACCCCAGACTCTGTTCTAGGAAGCACGTTCAGCATACTCAGGTTATTCCCTTTATCTGGATTCACTTATTCTAACACTAGTAATCAGGATAAGCAGTCACATGAAGCTGGCTATCAGCTGGCTAACTTAGGGTTTCCTCTCTGTGTTCATATCAAAGAGGTGGCGTTGGCAGAATCTGACCAATTACAAAGATGGATAAGTGACAGCAGAGTGGCTGATTTTACACAAGAAGATCAAACTGTAGTATTAGAAAACTATGAAGCAGTTACACACACAATACAAACTGAAAGTAAAACGGATTCTGCAGACAAAGCAGCAGTAGGACTGCGTGTATGCTTCAAGTGTTTTTGTTAGTAAGACTGGAAAACACCTACTGTTTTTAATAATATAGCAAGTTGAAGCTAGGAAAGAAAGCTGGCCAAAAATGCAGACGGTGTAAGTTAACAGATGCATCAATATCACAATTCTGTTTAAAGATCTGATAGCTGATAGGTGGTGATTTTATACCTGTTGATCTCTAATCTCAAATATAACCCACACTGGTCTGCAGCATGAGTTACCATGGCGATGTCCAAACTGCAAGAAGTGAATAAAGGTTAACCCTGAAGTTACTGGGCTTAGTTCAAATCCACTGATGTAAAGCTGCTTTTATATACTATAGGGATACTTTTAAGTAACTGCCGAGCTTCCTCAAATAATAAGATTTAATTCAGTCTGAACTTCAAACAAATTGAGAACGAAAAACATGAATCATTACTTATAACAGTTGCTTTTACATGTGTATTATTTCCTTTAAAAACGCACTACCTCTACTGTTGTCATTTTTTGCAGCTTTTTTCCTCTTTTTTGTACTTCCTGGATAGATAGGGCAATAATATGCTAGTCAGTGTGGATATTCTGAATAAATATATTTGCTTTTTTACTCGATGCCTGAAGAGTTTCATTTTGCACCTCTAGAGTGCAGTGTTGTGGCCCCCCCCCCCCCCAGCACTTATAATGTCTTAAGGCAGGGGTATTAAACTAAAATTTGAGGAGGTCCAGTTGGAGAAAATCTTCTCAAGCAGAGGTCCGGGACATCATAATGTCTAACTTACGTTATGATTGTGATAGAGAAGCAACCTTTTTTTTTAAATTTTTATTTATATCTGAACGTATGAACAATAGACTGTCAAATCAATGAAAATACAAGTTAAAACATTTCAACAAAATTTATTGTTAACACTGAAACACACAGTAGGCCTACATTAGAAATAGGGCTGCTGTTTAAAATGAATTAGAGAAAATAAATAAAATGGCTAAATTGTGCATCTTAAAACAAAGTGATTAATTTCAGAAAAAAAAAGTTTCCCTTTTTCTTTACATTTTACATCTCGACTAAACAGTCTCAATACATTTTCAACAGATAACATCAAAACATTTTAATAATTTTACAGTTTCTCTTTCTTTCCCCCTTATATTCCACGTCCCAACTTTCTGTTGTTCAGTGAGAGAACTGAGCTTTAGTTCGCTCTACTAGGATTTTAAATCTGGGCTGGAATGGTGTCAGGGCCATTCTCATACACATGTGTAGGTGCTCATTGGTGATCCTGGAACGATATTTAGTTTTTATTATGTTCATTGTGGAGAAAGCTGCCTCACAGCTGTATGTGGAGCCAAACATGGTCAAGATGTACAGGGCTACTTTCCTCAGATTTGGGAAAGCTGTCTCAGAGACCAATTGGGGCCAGAAAGTGGCAGGTTCAGTTCTTCCAAACTGCTCTTTCAGGGCCACATCTGCTTGGAGATCAATTAGTTGCATTTGAAGAGGCCCAGCATTTGCCCACTTGAAGTGCTGTGTGACTTCCTTTGAGAACCCTCTGACATCAGTGATGGCAAATGGGTTCTTTATGAACATGGTGAGCTGCTGTCCAAAGCTGAAGCTATCAAAACGTTTGCTGAAGTTTTCAATCAGCTTATCAACAAAGTCAACAAAAGAGGACACATCTCTCTGTCCCTGAACCTGTTCCTTCACTGTTGGGAAGTGTGCATAGTCTCCTTGCAGGTCTTCTTTGAACACTTCAAGTTTCCTCTGAAAGCAGTGGACAGCTGTCATCAGTTCACAAATTGAATTGTCCTTGCCCTGCAGCTTCAAATTCAGTTCATTCAGGTGTGAAGTGATATCAACCAAAAAGGCCACAATATCCATGTTTTTCCCATCATTTAAAAAGAGAGAAAAGTTTGTTGCTTTTTGACTTTCCAGCTCTTCCAAGAAAGCTGCTACTTCACTTCTGATGGACCAAAATCGCTCCAATGCCCTGCCTTTGCTAAGCCATCTCACATTGTTGTGAAGCAGAAGATCATCAGCGTGTGCATCAACTTCTCTGAGAAATTCCCTGAGCATGCGATGCTGACAAGAAGAAGATGCCCTGAGAAAATTAATCATTTTCATCATTGTTTTCATCACCTCAGCATACTCGTCTGACAGGGTGGAGCATAACACTGACTGATGAATAATGCAATGATAAGAGATTAGCTCGGGATTGTCCTCTTTCATTCTTGCTACAGCTCCTTTCTCTCTCCCCATCATAGCAGGGGCTCCATCTGTGGTTATTGAAACCACTTGGTTTGGCTCTATTCCTCGCTTTGTTAACATTTCCTTAATGGCCAGGTAAATATCCTCTCCTCTTGTAGTGCTGTGAAGGGAAGTTACACCTAGCAGGTCTTCACAGAACTCTTTCTTATCATTGTTGAAGAACCTTACATAAACTAACAGCTGAGCATTGTCAGACACATCAGTGGACTCATCTACAGCCAAGCCTACACATGGTGTCTTATGAATAGCTTCTTCCAGCTGGGATAGCACATCCTGAGCTAATAATTCACTTCTCTTTGTGGCTGTTGATGCTGACATAGGTATTTGCTTTATTTTGTCATGAAGCTCTTCTTTTTGTTTACCCTCAAGTAATGTTTCTGCTACTGCACTCATGCACTCTTTGACAACACCTGCAAAGGGCTTTTTGTGTTGACCTAAAATCCAAGCAACTCTGAGGGAACATTCATGAGCACGTTGTTGGGCGGTGAAAGAACTGGTTAAGATCCTTGTGGACTGATCATATTGGGCTCTGAGACTGCTAATTTTCTGGGACCTGAGTTCAGACTTGGGTGGGTATGATTGTTCAAAAGCTTTGTGCTTTGTCTCATAGTGGCGTTTGACATTGCCACTTTTAATCAGTGCCACGGTTTCTGAACATATGAGACACACTGGTTTGCTGCTTGCGGCCGGAAGAATGAACATATATGCGTCAGTCCATTCAGTCTTGAAAGTTCTATTTTCGGTGTCTACTTTTCTCTTTTTTGAAAGCGCCATAGTTGTTTTACCTCTTGTGACTCCCGCTCACGTCTTCTCTCACTGTATCGTTAATCGTCTCGCTTGTCATTCACCTCTCACCATGTCTTTCCTCTGTCTGTCTGTGTCTGCACTCAGCGTTGCGATCGCCTTGAATGCGCAGATGTGATTGGCTAAGTAGTGTCACGTGGGCGGCGTAACTCGCACACAATTGGTTAGTATGTTCCCTGGTCTAATACAGCATGTTCCCTGGTCTAATACAATGTAAGGTTACTGCTTAAAATTGAATCGCCCCGTCAAAATTAAATATAATTTAATATTTTGTTAACTATAGGTCCGGGTCCATATAGGATGGCGACTGGGTCCGGACTCGGACCCCGGTCCGCCTGTTAGTGACCCCTGTCTTAAGGCCTGGTCACACTGAATCACTGTGGGTGGGGGGACTCTCAAGGAAACTGGGGGAAATTCCTCACATTGTTCCTCTTTCCACCCTACCCACACTTAAGTATTGCTTAAGAGTTCGTAGTTTGTTTTTTCTTTGATTTTACCGAAAGCTCTGGAAAGTCAGACTGTATTAAAAAAGAGACTTGACTCAAAGTGTTAAAAAAGACACTAAAATTCAAAATAGTAAAAATAAAAAACAAACCCTTAGAGGTATAGTCATGCACTAAGCCTTAAATCCTTTAAATAGCTGTGGTCAAGCATGATTCATGTAAAGAAGCATGTTTACCAGCAGACCAAGCGCATGCGTAACATGTGCACGATGGCCGTTGATAGCGGTTTTTAATACCAGTAGTTTTGGCGACTTGGTGAGGAATGCTGTTGTTGTACTTCCCCATGAAAGTGGTGCTTCCTCCCAGACTATTGTTCTTGGGCAATCAATGAAATGACATCAGTGTGTGTGTGTGGCCACTGAGGGGAATGAATGGGAGGAGATAAGAGGCGGTGGGAGGTAGCTTCTATATTCCACAACACAATTTAAATCCCTCACTTCCGTTTTGTTGTAATAGTCTTTCTCATACCAGCCAGTGTACGTTCCATCTGGGAGGGGATACTTTAAATTTTGTTCCTTTTGTGATAGCAGACTGCTGAGCGAATGCGCCCACCTCGTAAAAACACCTGTATGAGAGGAGGAATTTTGTGTGCGCCTGCGTCTTTACGGTAGCCGTTGATCCCGCCCTCTCTTTTGATAGAAAACTCGGTGATGTCGCTCGGTCTTTAACGAGCTTGACCCAGAACCCGGAGAAGGAGGGGGAAAAAAGAGGGCAGAAAACAGTAAAAAAAAAAAAAAAACAAAAAAAAAAACGACCGTCTGGAAGGGGCAGGCTTTTCAAGAGCAGGTGAGTAAATTCGTAAATGTTACCATATGGCTGCGTGTGCTGGGGGTCGCGTTTTTCCCCCCTCCATCAAATTATGGGTGCACTGCAGCGCTGGCAAGGAGTGGTCACAGCATCGACTCTCTACGGCTAGCTAACGATGCTAACGTAAAGTTCAAATCGAGACCCTCTATTGCTCGCCGTGCAGGACTCAAACAAGCCTTTGGTGCCAGGAGATAAAACAAAGAAAGCCGTCAGACCTGACTGTGAAGGACGCTTTAACCGAATATTCCCGTGCCTAATCTGTTTTTGCTACCCTAACGCTAGCCTGGCTATTTTTTGGCAGCGATCTGGGACGGCTATGTGGGTTATTGTGATGCTAACGCTGCAAGACAGCCAAACGAGGTCATGCGGGTGCTGAGCGAGCATTCACGCCAACTTGGGCTGATTTGATCTCCGGCGTTGTCATTTATTTGTGTAGTAGCGCTAGCGCAACTACAGAGTAAGTCAAATGCGTGGTCTTTGTTCGCCTTTTATTTATGTCTCTGTGTGCCAGCTCACCGCGTCGCTCCTGCCCCACGCTGCTATCTTAACGCTAGCAAATCAATTCCCGACATTGCGTGGGATTTCAGAAGGGGTGCTAGCAGTTAGCTGATCTTGCAGGTGATAGGTTTTGGGGTGTTCAAGCAGATATGGCAGTGTGATGCTCGAGCGTTTTTTCTTTTTTGCCTGTCTGCACTTAACTGTGGTTTGACCTACTTATCGTTGCAGCTGATGCCTCCTTTCTGCGGGTAGCATCCATATTTTTCAGCTGGAGAAGGGAGCAGATTGCACAGGCTTGACGGTAATTACGATTAGGAGCTCTCCCGTGTCCCGGAGCATAATTGGAAACCTGTTTGGTTAGACGTGTATGTATATGTTGCAGAACTCTCTGAGGTTAATGGTCTTCCATTTGCAGCCTGCCACACATCCTGGGATTATTAACTTGTCAGCCTGTGAACCTGTTGTGTGAGTCCTGTGTGGACTTGTTTTTGTTAGGAAAGTGCCTGGGTGGGGATAACTGTCAGCCTGTTTGTGTGCCTGAACTCACAAACACTGGTTTCATTAAGCCACAAATGCACACAATGTGTTTTACACGGGCTTCCTGTACCTATCACTTTACCTGTAGCTGACTCATGTGTTCCAGGTGCCACCACACTGTCTGCAAGTCCTTGTTTGATTGTTGATGCGTGCTGCCGACACAGACTACAATTGTGTCTGCTCTCTTGAGGTGTACAGGTTAATCCCCGAAGGGCCTTGTGTGTGTGTGTGTCCCCATCTACGTTCGTGCATGTTAACTGTGTGTGTGCGTTAGGATGTAAGTGGATTAGGAGGCTAAAGCTTCAATCCCATTACAAGCCATGCTCAGCTTAAACTACCACCAGTGGCATCAAACTGACTTGAGAGCAAATTGCAGTTAGTTACTTTGAGATGTGTGAACAGATGTGCATTTCAGCAGTGAATATCTTGTTTCAGTGGGAGCTGGTGCAGGTGCCTCTGTTACTGACTAGATTTTAATTAAGTGGACAGAGGCTATATTGTTGCTTACATGTGAGTATGATCAGATATCCCCTGACAGGAGTGAGTGAGTCACGTTGACTGATGGGTGCAGAATCAGATGGAGCTGTCTGACTCGTGGTGTGTCAGTGTTCGATCAGATGTTGTAGTTGACCTCAAGGCACGGTACTTGACACGTTGAACCTCTTTTACTTCTCCTTGTCATGGTCGACTTGGAACAGTGTGGCTCTTTTAAAGAACAAAATAGGAAAACTTGTTTTTGTAGTTACATAGACTTTTTAAAAATGTGTATAAGTCCATGTTGTGACTCTGTACCTGAAGTCCACATGTAGGGTTGCTCCATTTGTTTCCTCTGGCACTTTACGTTTTGTCTTAGGTTGGTCTTTCTGGGCATATGTTTTTGACAGATATATGTGTGTATGTACGTATGTATGTGTATATATGTCAGACCACAATGTCTGAAACCCAAGAGAAGATGGTGATCTGATTCAGTGGTTAGACCACTCTGCTTCTTGAATCAACAGCCCAAAAATAGACTGATTTTAGATGGAGCCTGCAAACAGTCACCGCAAACATTTAATTTGGTCGCATCAGACATGAACTAGTCTTTTAACCAGTCTGAAGTGCTCAGTTATAAAGTTACAACGTCTGCTTACTCAGATTTTGGTTAGTGGATTTATTAAACTTTTAAAAAGCAGAAACTTTGAGTTTTCAGGTAGTTGCAGGCGTACTTTTGGGACCAAATAAAGGAAAATGCGCTAAAAAGCAAAACAATAATTTTCTTGTTTTAGTATTATTTAAAAGCATAACTGTGATTAAAGTGAATGACTTTGTACTTGTAATCTCTAGGAGATTCGAGTGAAAGTAATGTTTGATGTACCTCATGTGAGAACAGAGCATGTAACCGTCCAAAGTTTACGATATGCGGACACGCCACGTGTTTGCTGCCCTGTGCACGATCTGGCCTTACACCTAATGACACCTAACTCATAAGATCATTTCCAGTAGCTGGAGCAGCCGTGATGCTGAGTTTCTCACTTTCTTTCTCACATTTAGCATTAGAAAAGGGAACTCATGATAATGTCAGTGTGTCAGAGTTTTTCTGATGTTATCCCAGATTTTATATTAAAGAAAATGCTCTACTAACTTCTTATTTTAAAATAAATTGCGATGACTTAGCTATGCAGGTTCATAAAAATTGGTTCCCAAAGTTCACAAAAGCAGAACAGAAACCAGTAAATGGAGAACAATATTGGCAGGGTGGGAAGTGCCTTGTGGTCGTGTGATCAACATATTGACCATGGGGGATTTTCGCCGCAGCAAAACACACTGTTGATGGAAGAAGACAACCATCAGCTGGTGGTTTATGAAAGTGTACCTTAGGTAGGTTTTCAAGGTTTGTGTACAACTGGTTCTATTGGGGTAGAGGATTTATAGTGAGCCAAAGACGCCATTGCGGACCTCTCCTCAGCTCTGATGTCGAATTCATAACATCCTGTTTCTCAGGAAGTGGCTATGAGGGGAAAGGGGAGCGGCAGTGGGACGACATTGATTGTTTTCATTGTTCAGCGAAACTCTGCGCTGACTTTCAAGGCCAAAACTAACAGCTGTGAGAGAGAAAGTCGGATGGAGGACAGAAGCCATGCGCATGTAAAGAGTGACATTATAAACACAGATGCGTGCACAGTCAAATGTGTCCTATGATCTTTTTCTTGCTCCCAAACCCTTTTCACACTTGCGCCTGTGCTCTCAGTTGCACAAACTTGTCATTGTTCCTCCAGCCTCCCAGGCTGACAGCTGCAAATTCCCTCCTGGCTGTGGTTAAACCACAATAACACACTTGCTCACACACAGTGTGTATGTGTGTGTGTATATATATATACATACACAAACACACACACACACACACACATACACATACACACACTCTCGCCTGCCAAGAAATATCCATCATGGTTTATAATTAATCTTGTGCAAATGGCATTAGTGCTCATTAGTTCAATAAGATGGCCTACAGACAGGTAATGATAATATTAATGATTTTAACAAGCCAAGAATTGAGACTATGCGAGTTTATCACAAAGCTATGTAAACAGAGCAGCTTTAGAGACTTGATTAGTTTATTTTGCTGTGTTTGGGTCACAATGACCAGTAAACCTGCCTTGAAGTGCCACAAAAGCACAGTAAACTCTGATCTCTGAGTGATTATTAGCTAGTGTCCTCCTTAGCCTGTTCCACACTGGATGAGTGGGTGGGCTGCTGTGCTGAATTGGCAGGAGACAATGCTAGGAATGCAAGATTAGCTTTTATCTTTGATTCAGCACTCCTTTCCTTATCGCCCCCAACCCCCCCAAGCTTCACCCTCTCATTCCCTCATCTTTCCTACAAGTCCATCTGTTTTATTTGTTTCCAGCTCTTAAAAGTCTGTTCATCTCAATCTCTAAAGGATGAAATCAACCCTGTCTGGTCTGTGACCATATAAAGGCATGTGGGTAACACGACAGCAGTTTGTGATTTGCTCAGGTAGGAGGTTATGACTCTCTGTGAGTCAATGAGGTGACATCATATCACTTCCTGGCAGCCAGCCTTATCCCACATGCAAATGCTGGTTTTGGTTCTCGTGGATTCCTTTGTCTTAGGAAACACTTAAGCCACGCCTGGTTTCCTCATCAGGTCATCCCACTTTCCCTCCCTCTTTTCCCATACTGAACACACCCCATTCTGGGATTTTATTTTATGTTTTTCTTTTTTTAAATGTCGTGTGCTTTGTTAGTCATTATTTTGAAATTCGTACAGGAACAGACAGGCACTGCAGCTGTCAGTTTACTAGGTAAAATGAAACTGAGAAAATGATCTTACTGTGTGGTAATAGTGTGTGGTAATAGTTTTGTTTTTAATTATTTTCTTTATAAGCTCATGCTGGGTCATGAAAGTCAAACGACGAGTCATTCATCATCACATCTTGAGCCCCAATGCTTGCTTTGTGCTTTGCTCTACACCTGTTATCTGAAGTGTAAATGCAGGGCCCTGTTTCTTGTTCAAACTTTCAGCTGCGTTGGTGCATGTGCGCCAGACAGTGTGACTGAAATTTAGTCACCCCCCCCACCTCGTCCAACCGGTCATGCAGGTGTGTAGCAATAGCGGGTTTATTCACCTCATGAAGAGCTGGGCCGCTGCAGAACAGGGTGTATCACCAGATAAGAGGATCTGAGTCTCCACTATCCAGTTGCTTGCCTCTGGTATAACAATGTCTCTTTTTAAGGTACAATAACAAAGGATATAGAGGGAGGGGATATAAGGCAGTTAGGAGATTTGGGAATTAATGCTCGGAGCTACAGGTAGGGTGAAAACTGATTAGAGAGAAAAGCTTGGATTAAAAAAAGGGCAAAAAGAAGAGGTAGTAAGAAGAACATATGTTAGAATCTCTAAAACCTGCTTTTGCTTAAGCTCTTTATGCTGAAAATCGATGTTATCCAACCTAGAAATAGGTGCAGGTTGTTCAACTTCCCCAGCTAGCCTCCATATTCTGGCCAAATGTTGAGTAAATACAGGGTGTGTCCAAAGGCTGAAACTACTGTATATCTGTCTCCCTGCTGTGCCTTCCTCCTCACAGAGCGAGCAAACAACCCCCGTTGACACGCTTGTACGGTATTCTCACTGTGTTGCTGATTTTCAAGCCGATGCGTCTTCTCTAAAACACTTCTCGCCCTCTTTCCTCCACCTCTCCTTTCTTTCTCTGCAGTCCATTTCTACCTGCTTCTGGGGCTCGGTGGTTGGGTCACTTTCCACACATGAACAACTAAAGCGCCACTTCTGAACTTGGTGTGATCTCTCACCTCTTCTACCAAAACCTTGCCCACAGGTTAAGGTGTGTATTTTGGATTTTCTGTGAACCCAGTTTAAAGGCAGATGGTGCATTTTTAGTGGTCAACCCATAAGGAGAAGTGTGCAGTTCTCTTTTGGGTTAAAGGTTGTAAGTTGTGGTGTTAAGCTTCCTGTTTCAGTAAAAAAAAGCTTCATTCTCTAAGGGTAAAGGTTGTTTATATAAAGGATTTTCTATTTATCACCAGAAATTATTCTACTTGAATGTGGGGGGGAGTGACTTATCCAAGGACAGCATTTAGCTTTTCTCTGCTCTTATCTGAAACTTTATCCATGAAATGTCTTGTGATACAAAGATACTAATACATGTTTTAAAAACTTTTCTTGGCGTCTTATTTCTTGTGTGGTATCGGACAGTGTCAAAATTTAGAGGATATCTTTGTTTATTTAATGATGGTGTATTAAACTGCATGCAGTCATTGACGTAATGTTGTGATAAAATACTACATATCCACGTTTTATGATTTAACAAACTTTTATGGTTAAGTGCTATAAACCTCTGCTGCAGTTTACCAGTGAAGTTGGGATTTCAGGGTTTTTTCTTTTTCTTGTTTTAATCCTTTGAACACGGTAAATTTTCCCACGCAGAATTTAAATTGGTTGGCCATGCAAATATATTTATTTTAGCCAAAAAAGACATTTATTTTTTTAAAATCAGTTTTCCTCAATTCATCTTTTTTTTTTTTTTTTTTTTTTTCCCTTCCTTGTATTTTGCAAAAGTTCTCTGTTACAAAGTTTTCTGCCTGCAGGCTGACCAGTCGCTGGTACTGGTTTTCTAAGCAGTCTCTCATTCAGTTGAGCCCCATAGGATGTGACTGACAAGGAAAATGAATCAACTGCTCTGTCTTGTATTTGTCACAAAGTGCTCGGAAATGCGACAGAGTGCAAGAGGAACACCTAATTTTATTTATTTATTTTTTTGTCTGTGTGTGTAGAATCCTTGTCTGTTGCTGTTGATGACGTGTGAATATGTGGGAAATATTGCTCATAGTTGTGACATTTGGGGGGGGAGATGAATGAAATGGACATGACAGGAAGTCTCTTCCTGTAAAATTCTAGTGTATTGGGAAAGTTCTCTGGTTGACGTTCAGTTGGAGGCGTGTCTTTACGCTAACCATTGTAATTTCATCACTGAAGCCAAATCATGAAGAGAACTCTTGTGAAATCCCGTAGCTCTCTAAAAAACCTCTGTCTTAGTTACCAAGCAAGATCTGAGGATAACCACCTCCCCATTCAAATCATGCATCAGCTGGATCTCGCTGTACTCTGTTTGGAGAGTGTGTTTTTGTTATACACCCTCTCCCACTGCTGTAGCCTGTTTTAGGGCTGTATGCATGTGTGTAACGCCCCCTTCTCTCCCCTTGGGGCTGTGTAGTGTGTATGGAGCAGTGCGAGAGCGCAGCGGCTCTGCTGGAGTCGGTCAGGGAGCAGGAGGTGCAGTTTGAACAGCTGACCAGGGCGCTGGAGGAGGAGAGGAGGAGAGTGGGCCTCCCCGCCACTAGCCCCTCAACCTTGGGTCGTCCCCTCCCTCACACACAGGTAACTCCCCAAAGAACCCAAATATTCCCATCTTGAGTCATTTCAACACCTCTACGTCTTTGATTGTATGGATCATTATTCCCTCCATCCAACCCTTGGCGTGAGTTCATGCATCGTTTGTCTCTTGACATTCATCCGTCCATCACTCATCCCCTATCTCCTTGGTCCCACCTCCTCCCATCCAGTGCTCAGCAAGGGCGTTTTCTGTGCGTCATTCTTGTAACTTTTTTTTTTTTTAGATCTTTCTTTATGGACTCTGATAACATATGTCTGACTCATTAACTCTCATCTGCAAATTTATCATTACATGCCTTCAAAACCTATCAGCATGCCTACAGTGTCACTCACCAGACGCACTCTGACTCTCATTCATTTTTCATTCTCCCCTGCTGTGGAATTTCAGTAATTTTCTTATCCCTTCACAGCATTGTGCATGTGTTGCATAGTCCTCTAAACAAGTTTTCTTCTCCAAGTTTTTGTTTTGTTTTTTAAGATCAGATTCTTTTCTTTTGTGATCATGTCGCATCCTCAGTGTTCATTTGTTTTAAACTCTACTAGATGAATGGCTGTTTAAAAGTCGATATTCATTTCTGCTGTATGCATCAGTCTTAACTGTCTGTGTGTTGGTGCTGCATGTTGTATCTATTAGACTTGCAAATTTGTGTGTTGTACGTTAGAAATTGTTATGGCTGCTCCACAGAGCTTCCAGGTTTGGCAGGAAGCTGACAGGTTGGCTTAGGATGGCTTTTCAAAATGACAGTGGATACATTTTGACCATTTGGCCATTAACTGACACATTTTAGCTCTGATGCTGTCAATATGTCATTATATCTGACAACTGAGAGCACTTATTTTGTTGTCATTTAGCAGATTTGCTAAATGACAATAATGGATTTTGTGCAGATGTTATAAGACGTTACATTTTCTTTTTCAAATAAATTAAAAAAAGAGGGACTATTATAAGTAGGTATTTTCTTACATTTATTTAAAGCTTTTTAGAGGTTTAGCTGTGACTCCCACTTGTTTTGTTTTCCAGACTAATAATTTATGTGGTCCCACTGTTATCATGTGCCATTTTTCTTTACCATAGCGCTTAACTATCACAGTAGCAAGTTTGAGCAGTTAGAAAATAATGGACCTGTTTTTGTTTGTTTGATCAAGTCACACTTTTACAGTAGAGGAGAAATGTTGGCACACTTTTGTAAGCAGTTCTTAAATGTTTTCCTTCCTTTTTCAGGGCGTGCTGACATTGATTAGATCTCATGTTTTGTCTTATGAAAATCCTTGAAAGCCTGAAGGCTACAAAAACTTTGTAATAGCTGTCAATGCTTTATGATAAAGGCACACAGTATCTGTTCTGCGATTATGGGTTCAAATGCATACCAGAGTTGTTTGTAAATCAGATGGTATTAAAGGAAGGACCAGCTCTAGAGGAAGTTTGTGCTTCCTTTACGGTGTATACACAGTCTGCTCTTCCAATCTTCATATCGCTTTTTAAAAAAAAAAACCCAAAAACACAGCCCTGCTTCCTTGTGGGCACACAATAAACCGCAGTAGCATTGCAACAAAGTGGAAGAAATTGTAAAAGGTCTTTAAATATTTTTCTGGTCGGCAGTATCAGTAATACTGAAACTGAGTGTCGAAACGCTAAACAGCTGCTGATAAACGCTTCCAAAATAGCTCAGTTGTGCTGCGCTTGCATGTGATTGCCACTAACCGAGGTAGTTGCATTGCTAGAGTGTTACTGTGGTTTAGAAAGAAAGTGTCCCAAGTCGTACACTGTGACAGCCTTTGATTATATAAGAGTTTAGTGCAGGAGGAAACGAGGTGTGAGGATGACTGGCTGCATTCCAAAATGTCCTCCTTCGTGTCTGGCAGTGATTCACAGACCATAAACATGCAGGGACGGTTTGGTCAGCACTGAATGTGCTTCAGCAGCAGTAATATCATCTGAGTGGTTAAAAGTAGACAGCACAGACTACTGGGAACTGTGCCTTTACCCTCAATCTTGTATATTGTTTCAGTGTAATAGTATATTTAATTTTTTTTTTTTTCCTGTGTATTTCACAGTCATGTTTTCCTCTTTTATCCCAGAACGGGCGTTTAGGGGATGCAGACATAGAACGACTGAAGCTGACAGACACATATATAAACGGCACACAGGTATGTGATTGTACAAAGTTAAGCACATTTAAAAAAAATAATGTTCTTTTATCTATGCTTAAATATTTACACGTGTGGTGTCTTTGCTACAGTACAGGATGGTGGACCCTGCACATGGCGCTCTAGATGAGAGCTACACACCAGAGGATGAATCTCAGGAAGTGCATTCAGTCTTTTCCGAAGAAGGAACCACGCGGCGGATGGACAATGGGGTATGTTAATCTAGCGCATGCTTCATTTTCACCGATGATATCAGACGTTATAAAATTTTAATTTAGCCATGAACATTTTAAAACACTGGACTGATCTCACTATGCCACAGATGAAGAAACCGATATCGCGCACAGTCCTGCCTACTGAGTCATTGTCCATCGATGGGGGCTTGTCAGTGCCTGGTATGGGCGTCTACAGCGCCACATTGGACCGTCCTTACAGGCAGCCTGGTGGAATGGACTACCCCACTGCTACAGTACCCAGAAACTACCACTATGGTCCTGTGGGTGGTTACGATGACTATCGCGGAGGTCTGCCATCAGAGGCCTACGCTAGTCTGAGCAGGGGTTCACACATGGATGATCGCTACAGGTGATTGATGCTTCTAGACAGTGTCTTGACGTTTAATGGTGACTGCTTTGCGCTACATTCAAGCATACACGTCTTTACAAGCCACAGTGTAACGGAAGTTTCCATCATTGCATACAGGGGAATAACTTCCTGTTTTGCCTCATTAATTATTTAACTTTTTAGCCCTTGTTAATACTAATAGACATGTTTTTCCACACTCAATAATTCAAAGCTAAATATAATTCCCCCTTTTTTTTTAAGCATGCTTTTTTTGTAGTGCATATTCTAAATAATCATTCAGTCATGTGTGAAACTGACATGAGCAGAATTTATAGTTGACAGGCCTTGAACTTAACACCATAATAACATGATGGTAACATAGCCAGTCTATAAACATCTGTTCCGCATTTGTCCACAGACCATGAAGTGTCAGGCAGAAGCCGAGATGTGACATCAGATAACACGTGTCGATCTTTTCCACATTAGCAGCACCTATCCTGCTATCTCTGTCAATCTAACACTGTCTTTTCTTTGGAAAAGAAAGGATTAAGCTAACCCGACTCATCACTTTCATAACTGCCATCTTTACTCAGGCCAATGGATGGCTACAGGACTCTGGACTCTGGCTACCGGGCTCCGAGCCGCCAGCAGCTCGACCCGTACGCAGCACAGCCCCAGGTGGGTCGGGGAATGAGGGCCATGGGCTCTGCGATGGAGATGCGGTATGGGCACGGTCACTATGGTTTGGAGGATGATCAACGGAGCATGGGATATGATGAATATGGAATGGGGCCTCCACCTATGCACCCTGGAGGCTATGGTACCATGCCACGCCTGGGACCGGGGCCTGGGGGTATTGATAGACGAAGACTGAGGTAAAATAAAAACGTACTGTTCTGCACTAAGTCAATTCACAACATTACATAGTTTATTGGATAAATAAACACTCTTGATAAATGCTTCCATCCACTTTTACAGGAGCTGCGAGGACACTTTGGACAGTGACATAGGCAGCGTTGAGCCATACGCCTGGGCCGTCCCGATGACAATGGAGAGAGGAAGCATGGCTTCTCTGGACAGCACATTGAGAAAACCTCCTACTTCGTGGAGACAGCCAGAGCTTCCGGAGGTTATCGCCATGTTGAATTACCGCCTGGATCCTGTCAAGACCAACGCTGCTGCCTTCCTCCAGCACCTCACATTCAAAAATGACAAGGTAAAGCAAACTCTGCAATTGTGTTTCTGGTAGTTCTCTCTTTGTATGCTGAGTTGTAGTGTTTCTTCTGCAAATTTCTTTTTTTTTTAAAGGAAGTATCTAATTATGTTTGTAGGTTAAATCAGAGGTGCGCCGCCTAAAGGGCATCCCAGCTTTGGTGTCGATGCTGGACCATCCTAGTAAGGATGTGCATCACTCAGCCTGCGGGGCTCTGAAGAATATTTCATATGGACGAGACCAAGACAACAAAATCGCCATCAAGAACTGCGATGGCGTACCTGCTCTGGTTAGATTACTGAGGAAAACGCACAACCAGGATCTCACAGACACTATCACAGGTATCACTGTTATGTAAAATACTTGTTTTTTGTTTTTTGATATATGTGGCTCTTAAATGTTACTACTATTTGGAAGATTTGTGTGGTGGTTATATTTTCTTATTTTAAAGGCTCAACTGTCTCTTTATTTCATTCTAAATTATCCCAGGCACCTTGTGGAACCTTTCATCCCACGATTCGGTTAAGATGGAGATTGTGGACCACGCCCTGCATGCCCTAGTTGACGAGGTGATTGTTCCACACTCAGGCTGGGAGAGAGGGAACAGCGGAGGAGGAGAAGAAAGCTGCAAACCACGCCATATGGAGTGGCAGACCGCCTTGACCAACACTGCTGGCTGCCTTAGGTATGCAAGAGATCAATGGATGCAAAGCAGAGGAAGTTGAAGAAGGAGAAAAGGAAGCTTATTTTAAGGAGAAAACATGCAATTATGTGCTTAACTTCTCTCCCTTTACTTCAGGAATGTGAGTTCAGAACGCAGCGAGGCCAGGCGAAAGCTGAGGGAATGCACGGGGCTGGTGGATTCACTTATGTACATGGTCCAGTCACAGATCAACTGCAAAGATGTGGACAATAAGGTTAAAAATTCACTTATAACTGTCCCTTTTTTCGCAAGACAGTTGTGCGATTTTAAAAAAATAAATGAATAAATAAAAATTGGAGTTTGAGCCTTTTGTCCCCATTCACCCCTTCTTCCTATAGCTGGTGGAGAACTGCGTCTGCCTTCTGAGGAATCTGTCCTATCAGGTTCACCGTGAAATCCCCGGCTCTGAACAATACGCAGAGGCCATACCTGTCAACCAGGGCCCAGCTCCAGCCAGTAAGGGCGGCTGCTTTGGCTCTAGAAAAGGCAAAGGTTGGTGTTTTACAGCTACATTGTGTCAGATTTGTGGTTGAGTGAGTGGCAGTTACTGGTGGGGTTGAGCTTTTTGGTGGCAGAAGACCCTTTCCCTGTTTTTCACACTCTACTGTTTCCCCCCCTTTCCTTTTCTCCCTCCTTATTTCTTCCCACCCTATTTCACTTCTTCCTCTCTGTGCTCTGTTTAGATGAGTGGTTTTCCAAAGGTAAGAGTTTGCGTTTGGTGTTCTCACGAACCGGCGAAGCTGTCCATCCCTCTCATCACATTATTTTACTAATGCATATTGAAACACCTGGAGAAATAACGTTGAATTTACACGCATTCCACAGGCATGATCACACATAGCATTGCATGCTGATGGTGCTTGTTCCACTGGTTGCATGTTGGACCAGATAACAAGACTGAGAATATGAAAATGGTTATACCCCCCCCTCCCAACATCACTATATCTGTCTTATCTGCTGTTTCTTTTTTTTTCTGCAGGAAAGAAGGATGTAGATGATGGAAGTGCAGATATGGTTGATATTCCAAAGAGAACGACACCTGCCAGAGGTACTGTTTGTGTGTCTGCTTCTCTTTCAGATGATTTATAGTTGATCAGGGAGCTTGTGTTCATATAAAAGCATACAACTCTCTCTCTCTCTGCCAACTTTAGGTTATGAGCTTTTGTTCCAGCCTGAAGTGGTTCGTGTTTACACGTCACTGCTCAAAGAGAGCCAGAACCCATCAGTGCTCGAGGCTGCTGCCGGCGCCATCCAGAACCTGTGTGCTGGCCGGTGGACTGTTAGTATCATTTCTTATCAGTGATTCAGAGCTGGCTCTCTGCTATAAAAGGCTAATGTTTAATTTTGAACTTTAAAAGTGCATGAACCCTGAATAGTTGGGTCTGTCTTTGTTTTTATGTTATTAGATGACAACTAAAGTTGATCTGTTCTTTGTGCTTTTCATACAGTATGGTCGGTATATCAGGGCAAAGGTGCGTCATGAGCAGGGACTCCCCATGATGGCAGAACTGCTGGCTCATGGCAATGATCGTGTGGTTCGTGCAATGTCTGGAGCTTTGAGGAATCTTGCCATTGACAACCGAAACTGTGAACTGCTAGGTAAGATTGTTTCTTCTTAGCTGTTATCTATCATCTTAGCATCTGTGTCATTTTTTTTTTCTAAACATTCATTGCACTTGGGTTAAGAGTAAGAGTTTCTCTTGCAGGTTTGCATGCAGTGCCTCACCTTGTGGCCAACCTGCCTGGAGCCCAGAATCAGTCTGGGCGTAATCTATCCGAGGAGACAGTTGTGTCTGTACTGAGCACGCTCAGTGAGGTGCTAGGCAACAGATTGGAGCCAGCAAAGGTCCTTCGAGAGAAACGAGGCATCGAGAGCCTGGTGCTAATCAACAAAGATGGGTAAGTGTTCTCTGAGTGTAGAAAAGGTGCTTTGCGTATGTGGTTTTTTTTTTGTGTATAAAAGCAGCTGTTTTCTAACCGGTGTAAACCGTGTGTGTGTTATATAACAAAACTCATCAGAGATGATAACAGCTCAAACCCTTATCTCTGGTTATCTTTCAGCAAGCGCTCTGATCGCGAAGTGCGGGGGGCGAGCCAGGTCCTGCAGCTCGTCTGGGCTCACAAGGAACTGCGCCGACCTCTTGAGAAAGACGGCTGGAAGAAAACTGACTTCATGGTTAACATTAACCCAGGCACCACTACCACTAACGGCCCGAGCACTCGAGCTAACGGCACCTATGAAGACAGCACTACACCCCTCCTGGACAGAGGTGAGCAGAGAAAGTATTTACATTAAATTTTGCAGGAGGGTTATTTATGAAGAGTTTTACAGCTTAACTCATGAAATGTTTTTCTTTGTGTCAGGGGAAAAGAGGGACATGATTCCCCTGAATGACATTGGCCCTGGTTAGTAGATTTCTTTTAGATTTCTTTTGTTTTTGGGGGTTTTTGTTCTGCCTCAAGATTAAATCTTTAGCAAATTTTAACCTGTTTTCATCTTCCTTCAGAGGCCTACTCTACACTGGACCAGAAAGAAAGGAGACACACTCTGGATGAGACCACAGACACTTTACCGGTACTTAAAGTCACTATTAACATGTTGGATTGCTGGCTTAATGACACTAATCCCTAACCACCTGCACAGCTCTGAATATTTCCTGATTGTAACCTTTTAAAACCTCACGATTACTGACACATCTTTTCTCACACTCATTTCCTGTCTGCCTTCTTTCTGTCTTTCTCGGCTCCTCTCTCAGCGAGGGGTGTATGGGGGCAGAAAGGGCTCCCTGCCTCTATTGGACTCCTACGATGGTTAGCCCTCCCCCATCCCCTCTACCCCCTCTGCATGTAACAGCATGGTATGTCCAACTGACCTCTATTCCTGCATGAACTTTATGAACTCCTTTTTGTCTCTAATAACTGAAAACCTGAGTGAAACCTGGTCCAAGTCTGATTGTGAACTAAAACAGGCAGAGGTGTCGTTGTACTGATGCTTAAATATGAGATACCCTGATGTGTTGTGTATTCATGCTGGTATAGTATGCTGCTAGGTGTTCCTTGTGCATTGTCCTCTGTCATTGTAAATCCGAACCCCGGGCTGATCATTAAATAACAACATTTAGATCCTCAGAATAATAACTGTTTATGCATTAGTGTTGTCACAATACCACAGTTTTAAAAGTTACTTACAGTCCTTTTAATACAAAACCAAAGTTCTGTGTCAGTTTTCTACCCGGTTGCTGTACATGATCTCATGGGACTGTTTGGTACAAATGGCATGAAACTTCAGGCCCATTTTGTGCCTTATGCATGCATTTATTTTGTTAAATGCCATACAAAAAAGTTACTGGTCACATTTGTTGTTCTTGGCAAGAAATGGCACATGAAAATCAAAACGATTCTGATGAAATTGATGCTTCCCAAAGCAGTTTTGCTGTGACAGCTACTCTAATCTTAGTCCCCCTCAAAGTCCTTTACAATCAGCTGCTGGAGTGGATTTAAGAATGTCAGGAAGTGTTAATGCTTTTGTCATGTTGTGAAATATTTGTCTGGTTTTTCGGAGATCCACTGTTGTGGGTTGTTATTTGTGTGTGAGAGCACACTCTTGTGGTTGTGTCGGCTACTACAATAACAGACACCCAAGAATAGAAATGGGTTTCATTGATTTCTTTGAGTTTGTGAGGAAAGTAGTGGCAAAAAGTGCTATTTCTTAACAGCTTTGTTTGGATTACCTTGTAAAATGTTCCTGACTGCATGACCAGAACGGTGAGGGTTTTAAATAAACAAGTTTGGCAGTTAAGACACGTAACAAATCACACACAGAGCAGCCCGGTCGTTAATGGATGATTGACTTCAGCACAGACTTCAGTTTATTATGGATTAGTTCTATGTGCAGGGCAGCAGGCCAGGAACTAGAATCTAATTTAACTAAACTAAAGCAGTAATGTGATTATAGTAGCCTCCTGTTGAAAGGTCGTTTACTGTGACAACACTAGTGTGTAGATTGCCATACTTATACCACACAAGTCTTTGTGTTGCCTCCTTGTTTGATGTCTAAATCAGCCACATATCTTTTGTACTTGTTTTTTTTTTTTTTTTTTGTTTTGTTTGTTTTAATCATTGTGTTTTTGTCTCTTCCTCCAGAAAAACTGATAGTTTGCATCACCCAGACTGGGCCGTCCCTGCCCTACCACTGCTACTGAGGAGAGAAGATCCAGACTCTCCCTCTCCTCACCCCTTCCTTTCCCCGTTTCTCTCTCTTATCACCACACAAATGGGATCAAAACATGGGGGCGGGGGGGTTGGCATCCAAAGAAAGTGGTTGTGTTGCAGGCAAAGACTTTCAAGCAACACACACATGCAAATTCAGTTGTAGCAGCAGAAATGTATTCCGTTTATAACTTATAATTATTCTGTAAAGGCAATCACCTTTGTTGACAATCATTTGATTCTGGTGTTGTCCTCTGGCTTGCTTTTTTTTTTTTTTTTTTTTTCCTCTTGGCAATTTTATTGTCATGTTACAGCCACCTGACATTGGCCCTGATAAGTTTGTATTTAGACATTTAAGTAGGGTATATACTGTATATAAAAAGAAAAGGGGGGTGACTGCAGTAGTTTTGGCTCATTAATTTAATTAATGGGAGGTTGGGACACACCGACAGCCCGCCCTGTAGATTGAGAATGTTTATATAGGAGTTATTTTCCTGTCTAGAGTTATTTTCTCTCAGTTGGGATGACAAGAAAGGGCAGGTGTGTGTATATTTATCATACAGTAAACCTGTGGGTGTGTGTGCACGTGGAAAATGAATATGGACCTTTTGAATGATTGTGTGTTGATCCAGATGACACCACATGTTTTTCCATCAGTTATGCTTTTTTTTTTTTTTTTTTTTTTTTTTTTTTTTTTTTTTTTTTTTTTTTAAATTGTGTGCTCCTCTTCCTGTGATGAAGCTGTTCTTGTTTTGTTCCCTTTATGTCCCTCCCCACATGGAACATTTAGGAGAATTTCAGCTGCTTTATTTTGGATTTTCCTGTTTGGGTTTAGCCAACTAAACCAGCCAACACTTCAGACCTGGTACTGAGATGAAGCTGTGAACAAACACTACTAAGCCACTAAAATATTTCGACATACAGCTTCAGAAGGCCCTTAACCATTCCTGTACACCTGCCTGTTCATCTTTTTCTTTTTTTTTTCTTCTGGACCAGCTGAAGTGACTTTTTGGAAGAAATTTAAATATAAAATTCTGTAGCTGTTTTTTATACATGCTTGTCTGTATTAAAACATTTGGGAGGCTTCTGTACTCAGAGGAGACTCGAGTTTTAACAGGTTGGGAGAGATACAGGTGTAATTTAAACTGGGAGGCTGGCAGAAGGCACATTTTGTTTTTTGGGTTTGTTTTTTTTGTATTTCTTTGTGCGTCTGTTTCTTTTTATTTTCTGGAGGTTTATATGTATGGGAGTGGTGGATGAGAGCATTATGCAATTTGTTCTACTTTATAATTCCACTTTTACATCAGAGTTGTTTTAAAGGCAAAAGAGACCAATCATCTTTTTGTTTTTGTTTTTTACTCTTCACACACATAGTATATTTGTACTGTTGCCTATCCATGTAAAATTATGATGTACCATTCATTACCTGCCTTGGCTCTGAGAAGTTGCTTTCGTTTTTTCTTTTTTCAGTGACGTATGTAACTGGTTGTTTTTTATAAATAAAGATCTTTTCCTAGACAAGCTTTGGTAACGTGTGCTTGATGTGGCTGTGTGCTGATGTGAGGAAGGACTCCTGTATCGTGTGGATAAACATATCTAATTAAAGAGGGGAAATGCATCTGTGTAATTTCATCCCCTCACTCTTGTAAAGGCAAATGCTAATAGTTGGTGTGTTTGATATTCACTCCCTCACATCTTTAGATCGAATTAGTAGTGCTTTCAGTTGGGAAATGCTTTTTATTTAAGAGACAAACACGTTAATCTCCTAACTTAAGACCTCAAACTGCTCACGCCTTGTGCTCAAGCCTTATTAAAGCCAGCTAACCTTCAAGCGCCACAGTAAAGCTGGAGGCCGGGCGAGCGTTGACGTTCTCGGCTTTGCTGTTTGTCTCTGGTTACACACAGAGCAGCATGTTGACAGGAGGGTAGTGTCCTGAAGGTGTGCGTGTGTTTGCTTCCAAACATGTCAAAGATACAGTTGGTTGTCTGTGGATATGAAAGTGTTTAGGTGTTTCAAGTATGCAGCGCATCTGAAATGCATCGTGGGCTGGTTGAGAAGCAGCTGCTGGATCACGAGGGCTATGAGCAGATGTCGGTGTGAAAGTTTGATATTAGTTAAGGTATGATGTGCATGCGTCTGCTTGGAATATAAAATTAACCTTAAATTGAATACACAAGGTGCAGGAAGACAGCCAGTGAGGGCATGTTAGTGGTGTTTTAGCACTGTGAGGGAGTTTTATTCTATAGTGTGGAGGTTCACATGCTTTTTGTAGTAGCTACTAAACAATTTATTCATTCTTGAATCTCTTTACTTTTAGTTGTAACAGTTTGAATCACACCAGCATACACATAATACTCCTGCTTTCATCTCTCAATCTCAAGCAGTCATTTTCACTTTTAAAAGCCACAGAGTCCTGTTTACAAGGGAAGCTACAGATTAATGATTTATGAGAGATGTGCCAAAAATGCCTACATGTATTTTAAGTTTTGAGAAGTAGGCCTGATTTGAGTTTTTAAGCGTGTAAAAGGTATAAAGCCCCACAATAGACTGGCAACCTGTTCAGAGTGCATCCTGCCTATTAGCCAAGGGCACCTGAGCTAGACTCCAATGCCCCCTTATCCTGAAATGTATAAGACAGATTGATATGCAATTTGAGAATTTTGGTTAAAAAAATAAATAAAGCAAAACCTCTTTCACTTCTACTTATCTTCTTTAACAGGTCTTGACATTAGCTAGAAACAGCCATCACTGCTGAAATTGAACAAAAATGAAGCTAAACTGCAGAAGCAGTGTGTGAAAACCTAAGCATGCTCCATGATTCAGTAGCTCGTAGAACCACCTTTAGCAGCAGTAAGGAGTTTTCTGTATGACTTCATCTGTCTCTCACGTCACTGTAACAGAATTTTGGCCCGCTCTTCTTTACAGCATTGCTTCAGTTCATTGAGGTTTGCAGGCGTTCGTTTATGCACGGCTCTTTTAAGGTCCCACCACAGCATTTCAGTCAGGCTGAGGTTTGGACTTTTACTGGGCTGTTGCAACAACTCGATTCTTTACTTTTCAGCCATTCTGTTGTAGATTTGCTGCTGTGCTTGGTCAACTTGTGCCAAGCTATACAGGGAGTGCAGAATTATTAGGCAAATGAGTATTTTGTCCACATCATCCTCTTCATGCATGTTGTCTTACTCCAAGCTGTATAGGCTCGAAAGCCTACTACCAATTAAGCATATTAGGTGATGTGCATCTCTGTAATGAGAAGGGATGTGGTCTAATGACATCAACACCCTATATCAGGTGTGCATAATTATTAGGCAACTTCCTTTCCTTTTGCAAAATGGGTCAAAAGAAGGACTTGACAGGCTCAGAAAAGTCAAAAATAGTGAGATATCTTGCAGAGGGATGCAGCAGTCTCAAAATTGCAAAGCTTCTGAAGCGTGATCATCGAACAATCAAGCGTTTCATTCAAAATAGTCAACAGGGTCGCAAGAAGCGTGTGGAAAAACCAAGGCGCAAAATAACTGCCCATGAACTGAGAAAAGTCAAGCGTGCAGCTGCCAAGATGCCACTTGCCACCAGTTTGGCCATATTTCAGAGCTGCAACATCACTGGAGTGCCCAAAAGCACAAGGTGTGCAATACTCAGAGACATGGCCAAGGTAAGAAAGGCTGAAAGACGACCACCACTGAACAAGACACACAAACTGAAACGTCAAGACTGGGCCAAGAAATATCTCAAGACTGATTTTTCTAAGGTTTTATGGACTGATGAAATGAGAGTGAGTCTTGATGGGCCAGATGGATGGGCCCGTGGCTGGATTGGTAAAGGGCAGAGAGCTCCTGTCCGACTCACCTGATCTGAACCCCATTGAGAACCTGTGGTCCATCATCAAATGTGAGATTTACAAGGAGGGAAAACAGTACACCTCTCTGAACAGTGTCTGGGAGGCTGTGGTTGCTGCTGCACGCAATGTTGATGGTGAACAGATCAAAACACTGACAGAATCCATGGATGGCAGGCTTTTGAGTGTCCTTGCAAAGAAAGGTGGCTATATTGGTCGCTGATTTGTTTTTGTCAGAAATGTATATTTGTGAATGTGGAGATGTTATATTGGTTTCACTGGTAAAAATAAATAATTGAAATGGGTATATATTTGTTTTTTGTTAAGTTGCCTAATAATTATGCGCAGTAATAGTCACCTGCACACACAGATATCCCCCTAAAATAGCTAAAACTAAAAACAAACTAAAAACTACTTCCAAAAACATTCAGCTTTGAAATTAATGAGTTTTTTTGGGTTCATTGAGAACATGGTTGTTGTTCAATAATAAAATTATTCCTCAAAAATACAACTTGCCTAATAATTCTGCACTCCCTGTAGTTGCTGCACAGGCAGACTCACATTTGACTCTAGAATACTTTGGATCGCTTTAACATTTAAAATGCTGAGACCTGTGAAGTTTAAGATATAGCTCTTGATGGGCTTTATTGCAGTTTCTCAGAGCACTGCAAGGTCTGATCTTGAGTTAAGTCTCGTGGGACATCCGCTCCTGGGAGGATTGGCAGCTTTCTTTAGTGTTTCTCACTTGTGAATAAATTATTAAATTGTTTGGAAATGACCTGATGAGCCTTCCCAGATTGATGGGCACCAACAGTAATTTCTCTTCAATTATTATATACATATTGATTTATTCTTTTTATTTACTCACTCAGCTGCAAAGGAGAAATCATGAAAGAAATCTTCTGCTACAAAGGTTTTAGACTTTGTTCACAGCTATAAAGCTACAAGGAAAGAATCACAGTGGCAAATGAGTCCTGAAATGTATATGTGGACATGTGAGTGCTGCTTTAAGACATACTGAGGAGGGAGAAAGAAATAGTAAATCTATCCTTTCGACATGGAGCCCTGTGAAGTTCCCTTGCCAAAATTAGCAGGCTCCTCATTCATGATAGGAAAGGCAATATAACCGGCATGTAAATATCTCAAAGAATTTCCAGTTTATGAAGGTAATCTTATAGCAACATTTATAGCTGAACTCCTTGCTTACAGCTTTAATATTAGAGCTGGAATTAACTGCACAGCTGTTGCAAGCAGCTATCTGACTCAGATGTGCGCCTGTCTGGGTTACTCACTGCATGTGTGTAATGCTTGCAACCTGTGCAGCTGGTGCAGACACACACACACCGCTCTTTAAACCTGAGACCACCAAACGCAGCAGATTCTCCCCCTCTCCTTCATGGTGTCCTATCATTCGGTGTCATTTCTATTTAGGGCTCCTCCGCTGTTCCTCGTTTCCTCACTAACGCTCAGATAGAAGCACCAGCATTTAACTCCTGCACCCCATATCGGAGGGGGGAAAAAACCCGCTGGGAGGACCAAGGGAATACTGTACGTGATCGAGAGAGGAATGTAGAGCAGGATTCATCACAGGGACACCACACCACTGGGATTTTATGTGTGGCTTTACGCTTCCTTCCTTATACTCCCTAGAGGTGATCTGTGGAGGACTATGCGTGACCATACAAACAGATAGAGCAACGGACCAGCTTTGATTTGGCTCATGGATACACTCAGCGTCCCTGGTCCATCCGCTTCGAACTCGGATAACGAGTCCCCTGAACATACTCCAGACCCAGATTCCTCCCGCCACACCACCCACACTGGTGGGCAGAGCGGGCTCGGTGGCCTGGGATATGGGATCAGGGTAGCGTGGCACCACCTGAGGCCCTTCATCCCCTTCTTTCTCATCAGTTCCATGGTGGTAGCTCTCGTCTACCTGATGCAAGCCATCATCTACGGGGGGCCCTTCAAAGACCCGCTCTTCTTTGTCAAGTTTAATGAGCGCTGGCCGCGACCGACTCCACCCCGAGTGGACACAACGTCCTCTACCGAGCTTTTTGGTCTGATCACCCCCTCGTCATTTGAGGAAGTCCATATTGACGTGCACAGAGACAACGGCACAACGTGAACTGGAATGTAGAAAAGAAGGACTCCAGGGGGACCACACGCTGCTCTTGGATTAAAAGAGCACATACTAATATTTGAGTGGGAGACATTTCCCTGCCGGTCCTCTGTCCCTCTTAAAATAAAATATAATGGATGAAATTTTTATTTCAGCAGCTGAATCAGGTTTCTTTAAAATCCATTTAAATATTCAGTGTGCTCCAGCTTTTGTTTCTCTTATGAAACGAATAAAAGTGAAACTACAATTATTTTTTACAACTTTTGGAAGATTTTGTTATTTGCACTGAAGGTTCTTGCATGGCGCTCAAAATGTATAAATCACTACCAGTTTTATACATTTTTTTTAAAGCAGAAAATGTGTCTGTGCGATTTGTAGAGTGAAGCACTTATGATTTTAAATGCTTGGCCTGGTTTTCTCTCTGCACTGAACAGCAAATGTGCTTTTCCTGTACGTTAAATAAAGTGTCAGTCGTCCGAGGTGGAAAAGTCAAACAGTGATGTTCCAGCATCGCAGTCCTGTAGTCTCCCTTTTCCTGATTTGTGTTACTATCCCAGCTCTACGCAAACACTGTCCAGGAAGCACTTAGAGGGAATTTATTACTCTAAAGAATGTAATGATTGAACAAAACCAGCTTGAATTGTCTAACTCAGGCTTCTGAAGCCTCATTTTGACCTCATCTTAACGGCAGAGTTTATTTTTTTAGACAAAGTAAAAGGTGTAAATTGTGTCCCCCATCACCTTCAGCCTTTTACAGCTGAAAATGCTTTATAGACTTGAAAAAATATGAATCTATCCTTTAACCTTCCAGTGGAGTTAATGTACTTTTCTACCTCTCACCACTAAAATCCAGCTCCTCTGTTCATAAGTAGAAAATATTCACGATTCTCTCCGTGAGTGTTTCCCCTATAAATGCATCTCTTGTGCTCATTACTCATTGCTATCACTGTATATAAATATATGCTTAGAGAGCAAGAGATGTAGGATTACATCCTACTTCAAAACCTACTGGTGGATAAAAATAATTTTATATTGATATGCTTACTAGCCAAGGTCCCTCATAAAAATTGTTTATCTCACATTAGACGGTGAAAAAGTTGAGTGGTAACTTTTAACTGTTATGTGTCTGTGCCATTTTAAAATGTCATGTAATGTAATAACAACTGAACAAATCCATGTGTTAAAGAGTGAAATCAGCTGTGGTTGAATTGTGTTGTTATTATTATTATTATTATTATTATTATTATTATTATTATTATTATTACTGCAAAAAAGTGTGCTAAAAACACAAACAGAATATTACAAAACGCATATAAATATGATAATACTAATAATACTAATAATAAAGCAGTTAACTCAACGAATTAAACTATAATACAATCTAATTTAACTGTGAAATGAAAAGAAAATACTATCTATCTATCTATCTATCTATCTATCTATCTATCTATCTATCTATCTATCTATCTATCTATCTATCTATCTATCTATCTATCTATCTATCTATCTATCTATCTATCTATCTATCTATCTATCTATCTATCGCTTACTCTTCCACTAGTTTCTGGTGCCATTTGACGAAGACGGAGGTGCCAGCAGTGAATGCTCTCATTTTGTAATGTGTTTGCGTATCTTTGGCCGGCTGTTTTTTTTTCCTTGGGGGGTGGCCGTGGCGTCTGTGCGGTGACGCTGCCGCCCCCTAGCGGCGAAGCGGAAGACTGCACCGTTTCCTCTGATGACAACGTTGACCTGCGGCTGACCCCACTAAAATCGGACAAAAAACAGCCCAATAAAATGCTGTCCGTTAAATATATTTTGTGAAGTACATTTATTTTTAAAAAAGAAACGGTTTTATTTTGTGCCTCGATAGTGGATCTGTAGAGAGTTTTCAGGCCCGCAGACGGTGAGTAAACCAGGTGTCTGTCACATGGCCGACTTTAACAGCAGCTTTAATTAGCAAGCCGGGAGAGCGTGGTTAAAACAGGCCAGATATGCTGGAAGGTGATGTTAGAACAGACGTTTAGCGGTCTGTAACATGTTAACTAAGCTAGTACAACTCTTTTCTCTGTGTAGTCTGTTTGGAGTTCACTGCTAGCTAGTCCTCTGATACTAACCAGCGCGCGGGCTTTGAGCTGGCCCCACATGACTCGACTTTAAATGTGCTCAAAGACTATTTATTGCTGCAAGAAATATTTAAGATTGCCCATTAATCCACACTATACATAATAATAAACTATAAAGCTGCTGATAAAGGAGAAAGAAAGCTCGACCTCAAAAATCTCTGTTTTAATGTGCAAAAATTTCAAACTCAAAAAGTGTGTTTTTGTCCACAATATCGAAGCATTTATTGTGCTAATGTCCAGGTGAGCAGGGATATTTGCTTCACACTCCACACACATGTCACCTTCCGTTTCCACTCCTCTCTGCTCCCCTTCTGAAGTGGATGGGGAAATGTGGTGCTACCAAAAACCAGGGTTTGATACCCTCCTCCTCACTGAGCTGCAGAGACAACAACAGTGCAGCCAGTTCTGTGACACTCTGCTTAAGGCAGAAGGTATGAGACACACATACACAAAAAACCCAAAACAAAATTTTGCATGTGTTAGTTTTGCTTTTAAAGGTTTTGTTTTTGTCATTTCTCCCTGTCTTGCAGGGGTGTCTATACCCGCACACAGCTGTATTCTGTCAGCTATCAGCCCCCACATCTCCTCCGCTCTGTCCTCCACACCGACTCCCGCTGCGGGGCAGAGTCGCCTCTTGGAGTTTCGGGCTCTGGGTGCCTGCACCTTGCTCCACTTGGTCAGGCTTCTATACTCTGGAGAGATGGCTGGGGAGGGTGAGAGGGAGAAGCAACAGGCTATTTCTGCTGCGGCCAACCTGGGCATCCACGGGTTGGTGGAGGTGACGAAAAGGGAGTGTAAGAGCAGGGATGGGGTCGGGCAGTGCGCCGAAATAGGAGTGCAGACGGAGCCTCTGATGTTTGAGAGTGAGGAGAGACCGAGCAGGTGGAGGAGAGAGGTGAGGGATGGGAGCACTTTTCTGTGGAAAGAGATGATGTCAAATGGCGGGAAGGATGTGTGCACTCAAACAGACGAGCTGCAGATAAACACAGCTCCACCTGCTCACCCAGCAGTATCGTTTGAGACCATCAATATGAGTGCTCTGCAGAGTATACAGCACTCAGACCCCCTACTTGTTCCCCCTCAGATTTGCCCTGTGTCTGTCCTCTACCCTCCAAATGAACTAACACCTCAGATATCCTCTGCTCCCTTAGGTTCTATACCTGAAGCTGAAAGCACACCTGTTGCTGTTGTGACCCAGCCGTACACATCTGCCCCCCCATCCCTCCCTCATTTTATGAGCCAGACAACCATCTGTAATGCTGACCCCCAGAGCGGATGGGCTGACCAAGATGTCACAGTGGTGGAAGAATGGGAGGAAGAGCAGTTTAAACAGTTTCAAGGCAACATCCCAGGATTCATCAGCTACTTTCTGAACCCTGACAATGAGGAGGAGCCCCGCAGGGGGAGAGCAGGCCGCAGGCGAAGGTCCGGGGTTGGAGGTGCCAGGAGAGCCGAGACGGGCGAGGAGAAGCGTGGGAGACCACGAGCAGGAGGGAGAGGGCGTGGTCGGGGAGGATTAACTCAAATGGTGCAGGAGGTGGGGGTGAGCAGGTTGCAGAAGTTGTTCTTGCTCAGGTGGGGCATGAGGACGCCCAGGACGGGTCAGGGAGGCGGAGCTGCTGGGAGGAAGCTGTGCCTGCAGACCAGAGAGGTTGTGAAAAAGGGTGCACGCTGTGAGAGGAAAAGAGGGCGTGGCATAGCGTGGGCATTAAGCCAAGTTGGAGATGTGCTGCAGTCTGGTGAGGTCGGAGGAAGCACCACTCAGCGTGGAAGGAAAAATACGGGGCAACAGTTTGAACAGGTAAGCGAATGAGTGTCCTGTTTGTGGCATCTATAGAGTGTCAAAAGCTGTAATTAAATAAAATTATAGGGTCTGGGAGCTCAAAACTAAACCTCTGAGGGTTTTTACACCCAAAAATGAGAATTCAGATTTAAAACAGGATGTTACATTTGCTGCTTCTTTCAAACATTGTGACCTGTCCTTGTTTGCAGGGCAGTCTTCCTGTGCGGAGGCCACGAAGGTCCAGAGCCAAAACAGCAACATCGGCTTCCTGTTTTCCCACACCTATGCAGTTTACCAATGCACATACTCTATCTACCTCCAGCCACTCCTTCCAGGCTTCTCCATCTCCCCACCTGCCATCGCCTGCAGCCTCCTCTCCACCATCCTGTCTTCCTGTCCCAGCCCCACCACCTCATGAGGAGCAGCCTGAGCAGATCGATCGTCTTCTGGAGGAAGTGATGATGGGACTCGATATTTTACCAAACAACAAAGGCAGCGCTTCACGTGCTCAGCATCCCCTTCCAGCAGGTAGCAACACTGGCGCCTCTGCCTCTTCTGAAATCACCTCATCCCAAAACAAACCGCAGAGCCTTTCTTCTGAGCTCCATGAATCCACTGAGGTTGCAGTTGTTGCAGGAGCAGCTGGTCGCTCCAGTTCTACAAATGGTGTGGTGCCAGTTCTAGAGCGGCCGTGCGAGGGAGAGCTGGGTGACATGCTGGACCACTTCCTGCAGTCGTTTGAGCAGCATGTTGAAAGCTGTCGTGCAAGAGAGGAGATGGAGACGAGTGGTGTGAGCTCCACAGAGTCCTGCCAACCTCTCACTCTCATGAACACTTACAAAAAAAACAAAGATCACACTACAAACCCCTACATGCCTCAACTACAAAGGAGCACCCACAGAATTGAGTGCTCTCAAACACCTGAGCTGCACATTGATGAAAACGAGTCTCAAGAGAGCCGCTCACAGTCACGCAAGGCCCACGCTGGCCGCACCGTTTCCCCCAAACACATAGAGGAAACTAGACCGACTTCAAAACGACAGAACAAAAGAAGGCAAAAGCCTTATCTGTTCTCACTAGAGAAGAAGAAGGTGAAGGTGAGGAAGCCAGACGATGCGGTGAACAGAAACCCTCATGCCAGAAAAGAGAATCAGCTAAAGCAGATTCCTGTGGTGAACCTGGAGAGGAGAGAACTGCTGCCGGTCAAAGTGGCAATGCCGCGACACATCTGTCAGAATCTGAAAGGCAAGGTGGGAAATATTTCAAATAGCTAACTGGCAGATTGTTTAATTTTGCCGTCTGTCACCTGCTAAGTAAGTGAATAATAACAGTAATTAAATATGTAAGTAAACTGTATTTTTATAGCACATTTAAAACCAAAAAGGTTGCATTAATATTTCCATTGTCTATATCAGGGAGATTATCCAAATTATAAATCAATGATTATTATTTGGGAGGTTTTTAACCTGTGTTTTAATAAAAGGAGTTAATGAGCCCAGATTATCCTTCAAACTGTCAGTTTATAGTAGATGGCCAAATAATATTTCCCCTGGTTTGGATTTGTTTAACTCTAAGAAACTGTGGGACGTGCAAAATGTACTCACTGACCCTTCTTATGGGTCAGCGATCTTCCTGATTCCAAGGTAAATCTGCATAGCGATGAAAAGAAATGTGCGGATGAGTAATATGACCTAGACAGAGCGTAATAAAGAAAACAAATAGGCCCCTAGATAGATCCCTGTGGAACTCCAAATGTCAAAGCTGCCGATGCAGAGGATTATTTTCCGGTTAAATCAAAACTATCCTAAATTTAATAGAAGATTCAAACCAGTTAACCCCAAAGCCTCAACTCCTGCATGATGCTTTGCTTGTTTAAGAATGGCTATACTACTGCATGCTTACACAGTACCTTTAGCAGAAGCTAGGTTTGCATTTATAATGAACTAGTAAGTTTAAACTTTAATTGTATACTATTAGGACATAGACCTTAAAAACGCTGTAAAAATCCCCACAGCGTGTGAGACTCTGTGATTACCAGACGGTGCATCCCAAATACTGCTACTTTGAGCCAGTTTGTGACAACTGCTAACGTTTGAATGCTGACAGATATTTAAAGTTACCACACGTGGATTTTTCCCCCACTCAGTCATAAAAGGCTCAGTGGTGTATCTACTAAAAGTCTCGGACGAGTACAGATTTCGTAACCTCGACCTCACAGTCAAGGTCATGGGTCAAGTTTTCTGAAAATCTTGTGAATGCAGTCAGTTAAGAAGGAAAGCTTTATACCATAGGTTGCATGTAATAGGAGGCTGAAGGGTAGCACTGTTTTCAGTATTTTCCATGTTTAGACTATTGTTTTGTACTTTTATAGTTCATTAAGGTGAATCTGTTTTACAGGATGCTTTACCCTTCCTTGAGGAGCCACTTACAGCCAAACGCCTACCCTCAGCAGTTCAATCAGGGCGCAGAAGTAGGGGCAGACCCAGGAAAAATGACCCTCTCAGCTCATCTAACAGAGAGTGTTCAAAACCACCCATTCTGGCACAGCCTGCAGATTTCTGTGTTGCGGATGAACAACTTGAGAAAAACCAGGAGAGACGTGAGGAGGAGTTGGCTGTACAGTCACACGAAGAGGTGGGGGGGGCTACGAGGAGGGGACAGAAGAGGGGAGCAGAGTCAGACGAGGATACGAGTGATAACGCCACCGTGGCCAAGAGGGCTTGCTTTGAGACACCGACACAGCCACCCACCTCTGAACCTGCAGACTTTACCTCTAAACTAGGAGCCACAGATCCTGAGGAGACAATCGATGTAGAGACTGTTTCTCCGACCGGAGCCTGTTTACAAGAAGAAAAAGAAAATCTCCCGTGGAGTGAACTCAGACTAGCTGAGGGAAGTCTGACAGATGAGGAAGTACAGAGCAGCGCTGATGAGATCATCGATGTGGATGGAGACGACGAAAACTTTGAGATAAAAGAAGAGATTCAGACTCAGAGCAGAAGAGCGCCGACTGTGTTTGCTGACCTGCAGCCTTCTGTTTCACCCTCACAGTCTGCAAATGGAAGCTGGGACGTTGTCAAAGATGAGGTCATCGATGTGATTGGAGGCTCCAGTCCCATCCCTGAACCGGTGACCATCACGTGGACAGAGTCTTCAGAAGGTGAAGAAGAAGAAGGAGGAGAGCTGGACGTTGATGTAGTCGGAGAACACAAAGACAGCGCTTCATCAGTGATTTTCACCGCTGTGATTAAAGACCTTGTCAAGGGAAACGTTCAGACTGAGGTGCGCTTTCATTAACACCTCTAATGCCCCCTTCTTTTCTGTTCGTGTGATTTCTTACATTGGTTCATTTAACTGCGTCTATTTCAGGGCTGGTGACAAATGGTCGACGTAGATGTTCATGAATGTTTGTCTTCTCTCTGTATTGTGCTCACATCCACGTGCAAACATGCTGACAATCACACCAAGGATGTTTGTGTTGCTATTCCACTGGGGTTTAAGATAAATGGAGCAATATGTGTCATTTGTTTCAAGCAGTGAGGAAAGACCTGCATCCTAATGCGTAACATTGTGAGCTTAATCAGAACAAAAGACGTGTGTTTGTGTGAAGATGTTTAGTTTTAAGCTCTTCAGCTGAGTATATAGAGACAGCTGGGATTGTTCATAATTGAAGAATTTTATGTGTTACAAGTTTAATATTACTCATTTGTAACTGTTAAGCAAAGTTTTTTTTTTTAAACTGAAGTATTGGAAATACATTTAAAAAATCAGGTTTTTGTATGTAAAGAAAGCGTTTTTATTAGTTGTACATATGACAGTAACCGTGCATTACGCCTTAATCATGCTTCAGCTAAAAATCTACATCACAACTTAATCTTCCACGGCGATCAGAGTCGACCTGACCTGTAGTTGCATTATTCCAGAGCTGCACGTCAGGTTACGTTGTAAGTTACGACGTAGATTTCCCGCTGAAGCGTAACTCAGTTAGTTGTAAATATGATTGGTCATATATATATATACATGTATGTCAGCTTCTGTTCTGCCAAAAATTTCCAGAAAACTTTCAGCACTCCTTGTTTTTATGTTTGTTTTCGTTTGCTAATGTTCCCCGTGGCACTTTTGGTTCAAGGATCTGTTTCCTGTAATAAAGATTTTTCTGTGATGCTTGTGACCTTATTACTGCGCAAGTGGATCTGAAACAACAAACAACAACAAAAGCCTCAAAAGTCCAATCCTATTTTTTTTAGCTTCCGATCAGCCAGACCTTCTTGTGATTTTTTTTTACGTGCTCTTGAGCAATAGTTCTTCAGTCTTTCTGAAGGTCAGGGTTTTTCTTTGGATACTTCTTTAGTTAAATCCATTAAAAAAATGCCACAAATTGCTAATCCATAAAAAACACAGTTTGACAGACATAAAATGTTTCCGAGGTTAAAGCTCTTATAATGAAAGCTGTTCTAAGGTCGGACAACTCAAAACTATTTTTTTAAAATATTCCTCATCCAAAAAAGGGAAAAGGAACATACAGCTTGTTATCAGCACTCAGTTTAAGAGCCTGTGTCATCAGTGCCTATGGAATTGGTAGCTTTGCACATCTGGAAAGGCACCATCAGTGGTGGAGGGTATATAAAAGTTTTAAAGTAACATATACTCCCATCTGAACATCTTCCAAAAAAAAAAAGAGCTGCATGTTTGAGCAAATCAATGCTAAATCACATACTGCATATATTAAAACAACATGGCTTCACAGTAGAAGAGTCTGGGAGGTAAACTGTCCTGCCTGCAGTCACCATCTGAACACATTTGGCATACGATGAAGAAGACGAAGGACTGTCGAGCTGCTAGAATAACAAGAACAACATTTCTCTCCCAGAAGTCCAACAACTGCTCTCCTCAGTTCCCAGATGTTTACAGGTTGTTGTTAAAATATATGTTTTCCATATTCTATTGTGAATAAAATATAGGTTTATGTGATTTCCAAATAATAGCATTCTGGTTTTAGTTATATTTTACATAGTTTACCAACTTTAAAAAAAAAAAAAGATTGGAAAACATAATCTTTTTGTTTTCATTTAGTTTGTTTATTTTCTTAAGATGTACTATGTTTAACTATCAGTCACTGAGAGCTTCCACAGATTAAAAAACCCTCGGTATTCATCATTCTCTCCACTTGCCTCTGCTGTGTGTCCCTTTAATTAGTCTGGCAGAAACACTTATAAATGCAGCGCAGCATGACTAGCATAAAAAAGAACTCCTGTTGCATGTTTTTGTGTCCTATCAAGGTATATGTCATATTTGAACATGATTACTGCTGAGAGAAACTTCAGCCCTGCAGGTGATGTGTTTCATACTAGAAGAGAAGGAAGGGAAGTGGGCAGCCCACTTTATTCACATATTTTTTTCTTTTGGCTCAAATTAAATCACATACAGAATTTGAAATAATGAAAAAAAAAAGAATACATGAAGTGAAAATGAGTTTATTAGTTATCAACCTGTGGACCAACCTCCTACACACAACTGCAACAAAACACATCTGAGCTGCACCATATCACAGTCTGCTGCACTGGGAGACTTTCCTGGACATGGCACCATGTTGGAGCTTCGTCTCCCCTCGGTTTGAACTCCTACGCTCATCGCCGAGCTCAGGCGGGAGTACAGCGCAGGTGTGTGCTTGTGTGCGGGTGTGTAGCGACCTCTAAACCAAAGTAAAAAGACACAGTGTGTGTGTCAGTTATGTCGGTGTGTGTGTGCGTGTGGAGCGTGTGTTTCCCTGTGCTTTTAACAGTGCGATATTGTCTCTTATCACACTCTGGCTGTAAATCAGTAGTAGTGGTGATGTCGGGTTGGGGCAGCTGTCGCGGCTCAAGTCAAGATGAAGGAAAGGATTGAAGAGAGGAAGATAGAGAGGAGGGGGGTATGGGTAAAAGGAGGCGGGAGTTGAGGGGAGCTGCTGTCCGTGGGCCGTGGCCTCAGTCTCAGCCTGTCCTCCTCTCAGTGCTGGATGCGCCTGATGGACTGGATCTGGGGGGTCTGACAGTGGGAGCCCCAGTTCCTCCAGTGCTGGTAGTCTCCACTGTGTCTCTCACACTCCATGATGTACTGCTGGCCTCTGTAGCCAGGGTACTGGTAGCAGACAAAGCTGTGGGACAGATGGAGAGGGCAGCAGAGTCAGTTTTCAGTAGCTGCTGTCAGAATTAGGATTTAGTAATGGGAATAATATGTGCTGATGATGGATTTTAATTATTTTAAGAGTACAGTTTTATAGGCAGATGATGTTTAATGGTCACAAAATAGGGACTGCGATGAATATTTGGTTAGGGGTACCATCCCCATTTTCGTTTTTAGGGTGATACTTACGCGCCACACTGCACGTGCATGGAGCCGACTTCAGGCATCATCCATCCCATGGCCTGCAGAGAAGGGTAGTCATCACAGATCTCCACGCTGCGACCCAAGAAGTTCTCCTTCTCAAAAATGAGCATGCGACTGCTCTGGTGGGACTGAACAGGACAGAAAAATCCAAGAGTTAGGTTTGAGATTTCAGGGTTCAAAAGGAGGATGTGGTTGGACCCTGAGAGAGTCGGGGTGTACTCACGGCGCAATAGATGGGGCGCAGAGACATGAGGCGCTCCACGTGGTAGGAGATGGAGCCGCTGTAAGCGTCCCAGTGGGGGTACTCTCCTCTCTCCATGATGAACTGCTGGCCCTGGAAGTCGTGGTGCTCGAAACCCACCCAGCTTCACAGAAGAGACACAGAGAGGCTGGTTTACATGATGCTCCCTTTAAGAGTTGGTCTGTAATGTAGGTTTTTGTACCGCTGATAAAATCTCGGCTCTTCTTTTTGTCTCCAAAGTGAGATTTACAGTAAAGAAACAACCTTTTTTTCAACTGCAGGTGAGCTACAATTAAAAAAAAAAAAAACCACATCTTTGTATTCTTTTTACAAGAATTTTTAGTGTTTTTTTTAGTGTTTGGAATAGATGTGATCAAAAGAGGATTAAGTCTATATATATTTCTTTAACTCTGTGCTGGTCCACTGGGTTTTGTTTTCATCTATTTGTTATTAGTAACAAAGAGAGTTTTGAGACTTACGCTCCGCTCTCCACCCTGATGGAGCGGATGTTGTCCAGTCCGCACTCCTGGATGTTGCAGCACTCGGAGGTGAACTCCAGGCACTTGCCCTGGAAGTGCTCCTGCTCAAACACGGTCACCTGTGGAGACAGATCAAAGTGGGGAGGAGTTTAGATACTGCTGCTCCAAAGGCTATAATAAAACATTTCATATACACCTCCTCACGAGCATTTGTTTACCTTGAAGAAAGGAGCCATGCCCATTCCTGAGGTAACCAGGGGCTGGATCATTGGGGACCTTGTAGTTCTGTACATCTTTACTCCTGGATGTGTGGATGTAAAGTAAAGAACAGGAAGTTTTTGGTGAAACAGTGTCAGAGATAGTAATAATTAAAAATAATAATTTAGATAAAATAACCGGACAAAAACACGCTGGTGTTCGCGCTCACAGTAACTCCACCTCAAACTCCACCTTCTGCATCGTTTATGCTGCACAGCTACGACATTTGAAGGGTGGTCTGGCCATGAACAGCTAATTCACACTTTTAAAGCAAATATATATATATTTTTTACAATCTGACTGACAGCAACAGAAGTGTTTCACAGGTGTCACAAAGTGCTTTTGGATTTCAGTTTCTGTGTGAAAGCACCACCTGTCTGTCGGACCCTGAGCTGAGCTGAAAGCAGAGATGCAGCCTTACCTAGAATGGCACTTTATTGGAAGAGCTCGGGAGTGGTACGCGCCTACCGCCTGCCTCGCGTAGAGCTTTCAGAGAACCTGGCGCTTCAGTTTTATATCGACGGTCGGGGAGCGCGCCTACTTCTGCGCGTTCGCGCGTACGCTTCGGACCATGGAAGCTCTCCGTTTTGACACAGTAACCATGCGCGCGCCGCCGGAGCTGCTGTGTGGCCTCTGGACGCTGTTGTCCCCCTCCAGCGTCTAGCTCAGCAGATCCTAAAGTGCTGCCGAGGCTCGGAAACAAAAGCCTCTCCAGTATGTTCGGACCCCGGTCAGCAGTCCAGCGCGTGCCCCGCGCACAAAGGGTCGGAATCGGGGCGGAAAATGTGGGGATTAACGGCGCGGCAGAGAGCCACGCATAAAGTTTTAACTGGGTCGATGTGAACGAATGTACAGAAATGGAAGGTTTACGTTTTCTCTTGTTTAATTAGTAGCATCTAATTGAAGCTGCTTAACCCTAATGATCAGGAAGTTTGACCTAAATTACCAGTCAGACAGACAAGTAAAACACAGTGTAACTGGTACCTTCCAGTTACATCCCAGTTTAAACACCTATTCATTCAAAGTCAGGCTAGATTGTGCAGCCTGTTGTTATGTTGCCAGTTGTTGTCTGTGGGACATGAAAAGGTTGTATACATCATACAGTAATTAACCTTTAAAAAGCATAAATACACATCTGACACTTTATTTAAAGGGTTATGGTTTTATAGTTTTCAGTCAGGGTTATAAAACAGCTTACACATTTTTACTCTTCATACATTCTGTTCCTACAGTCTGGGGAACTTGGTTTTATTTTAAATCACGCATTCAAGGGGAGACAGAAGACTAAACTGTCTGAAATCTAAACCTGACTACTTTTTAATTGGCCAGTCTGTGCTCCAGCTGGTGTCTGTCCTCCTCTGTCTCTGCCCATCCCCATCACCCTTGGTCCGTCCCTCTCTGATGATGCGGGGTTTCTTTTGTCTCTTGTCTCTGACCTCAGCGAGTTTGTTTCTCTTCCCATAATCCCTCTCCTATGTGCGCCAGCGTATAAAAGCGAGGGGCGCACTCCGAGCCACACACACTCTGAGTGAGGCTCGGCACAGGCATCGCACACACAGGTAAGGTACACGCTCACACGCCAGCAGGAGGTCCAGCAGCAAGCGGAAAGGGCATAGATTAGGTTTAAGCTTTCCTTTACCTTTAATTCATTTGAGTTCCTCAACAATCTCGTGGCAATACGAAAGGCTGCACTTATCACACGAATAAACAATCTCTCCCTATTTCTTCCGTTTCTCTTTCCACTCAGTAATCATGTCCAGCGGAGATAAATCCAAGACTTCCTCCCAGACTGACGGAAAGGCTGCCCAGAGCAAGAAGTCTGAGATGGGAATGATGTCCTACAAGGTGGGTGGTTCTCTCCTGTTTCAGATACAGATAACAGTGGCTACGCTGAAAAAATTCACATCACAGACCCTTACTGATGTTGTTCTGACGTATTACTTTCCTCCAGATGTACGTGTTCGACCAGGAGAACTTCCAGGGTCGCATGATCGAAATCAGCAATGAGTGCATGAATGTGTGTGAGATGGGCATGGACCGCGTGCGCTCCCTGCGTGTTGAATGTGGACCGTAAGTGTCAAATGAAATACACTTGTGTTTGTGCATCTAAGATTTAGATTGGTTGCTTCATGACGCTTCCTCGTCCGCAGCTTCGTGGGCTTCGAGCAGATGAACTTCTGCGGTGAGATGTACATCCTGGAGAAGGGAGAGTATCCCCGCTGGGACTCCTGGAGCAACTGCCAGAAGAACGATTACCTGCTGTCCTTCAGGCCCGTCAGAATGGTAAAAATCTTCTATTTCTTTAAAACGTCACTTTTTTTCCTCTTTAGACTCCCCTCTAAATAAAACCTCTGTCTCCCTCTATTTTCCCATGTGCCAGGACCCCGAGAAGCACAAGATCTGCCTGTATGAGGTTGGAGAGTTCAAGGGCCGCAAGATGGAGATCATGGACGATGACGTCCCCAGCCTGTTCTCCTATGGCTTCACCGACAGAGTGGGCAGCATCATTGTCAGCTGTGGAACGTGAGTGTCAACCATCAGTGGAGCTTAAATACCAAATTTAAAGGCCATAAAAACAAATAAATTGACATGTTTCATCTTTTTTTCCCAGCTTTGTGGGATACCAGTTCCCTGGATACCGTGGCAGCCAGTACCTGCTGGAGAAGGGCGAATACAGGCACTTCAATGAATATGGCGCCCGCCATCCTCAGTTCCAGTCTGTGAGGCGTATCCGTGACATGCAGTGGCACCAACAGGGCTGCTACACCATGGCCAGCAAGTGAGGCTCAGGGAAGGAGAGAAAGAGAAAAAGCGGAGGTGAGGGAGAGGGGCGGAGGAAGCGGGAAAGGGGGAGAGACGTCTGAGGCCTTTACCTTAGTGCCTTAAGAAGGTCTTTGATCTAATGCAGTGAGGGGAAGGGTGAGGATCTATGTCTGCCCCTGACTGGAGAAAACACCTCAGTGGAAGGGCCAGCTGGACCACAAAACCATCAGACCACCCTCCATTCCTCTCTGTTTCTACTTTTCTCTTTCTCCCCTGTGGGCTGAGCTTTGCTTTCCTCCCTTTTCTTCTTTTATTTTTATTTTTAGTCCCTCGCTTCATTCCCCTCCACAGACCTCTGAGACACAGTAGAGGGAACGGAGTGTCTCTTACTGTTTTACATACACGATTCTCAGCTCAGGGTATGATGCACCATGGGAAACTGAGTCCTTAGAGCCCCCTGCTCCCTCGTCTTCCTGCCCCTGTGCATTGCACACCCTCTCTGCTGTACAGAATCCTGGCCAAGTTTTCAATAAAAAGGAAAATCTTGATTTCAAAGACGTCGTTGTTGTTACTTATTACATAGAAATCACTTAAATTAATATAAATCAATAACACATCATTTAAAAAATGGATAAAAATGTGGACAGCCGGACACTAAAAATATTTTTTTTTCTTTATTTTAATAATGCGAGCCAGTGTTTCTTCTGTGCGATCACAGTTTTCAGTGTCAACATATGGTTGTTAAAAATTCATTGAATAAACACTGATGTTGTTTCTGGTTTGGGTTTGTTAAACCTTTGCATACTCAACTTTAAAAACCTCCCAGTGGCACAATGCTTTGTGTTGCATAGAAAAAGAGTCAGTTGGGAAGCAGAGCAGTTTCAGACATGTGATTCTGATCATGTGACTGCTGCATTGTGCACAGGCTCTGCATAACAAGAGGTCCCATCGAAATTTCTGTTTTGAATTGAACATAAAACACAAACTCATTTCCTTTAAACTTCTTTTATATATTGTAAAACCCCCCAAACCAAAACATCTTAATAGCGATGAATCTACCAGAGTTATCACAGTTTTTTATTTTCTAGTTTTGTATTTTCTACGTAGTTATTAATTTTATTTCGTTTTGAGTTTTTGTTTTTAACTCAGTTTCTAGAGTGGATTTTCTTGTTTTGGTTTATTTTTTATTGAAAATGCTTAGTTTTAATTGTTTTTTTAATTGTTTATTTAGTATTTTCAGCATTAATTTTAGTCTTTTTAGTTGCAGGGCATATGTCAGAGGCAGGATTCAGGAAAAAGACCAAAGGTATTACAATAAAAATGCAGAACTTTTTGAAAGCAGTTTAGTAGACCTCCGGAGTCTCAATAAATGCGTCCATCAGTGACTAAGAAATACTGAAACTAAGGATCGTTTCTCTATTTTAACTAAATTTTAGCTTTTCAAGTTAACAAAAGTGTTTTAGTTAGTTTTAATTTTTCCCCAAATTTTTATATTTATTCATATTTTAATTAAAAAAAATGTTTTTTTCTACATCTAGTTTTAGTTTTTAGTTAATTCTAACCTCGCCAAGCATAAAATTCAATAAAAAATTTAAATGTTGAAATTAAAATATAATGTTCAACTGCTTTTAGTTCAAATATTGAACTAGCCAATCACATGGCAGCAACTTAATGTATTTATGCCCGTAGACATGGTCAGGACGATGTGCTGAAGTTTAAACCGAGCATCAGAATGAGGATGAAAGCTGATTTAAGTGACTTTGAATGTGGCACGGTTGTTGGTTGTTGGTGCCAGACGGGCTGATCTGAGTGTTTCAGAAACTGCTGATCTGCTGGGATTTTCCCACACAACCGTCTCTAGGGTTTACAGAAAATGCTTCAAAGAACAGGAAAGATCCAGGGAGCAGCAGTTCATTGGGAAAAAAAATCTCTTGTTGATGCCAGAGGTCAGAGGAGGCTGACCAGAGTGCTTCGGGTTAGAAGGAAAGACAACAGTAACTCGCTTAACCCTTGTGTTGTCCTCGGGATTCCCATATACTTGTTTGCCATTCGCCTACGGGTCATTTTTGACCTGAGGACAACAAAAGAGCATATCTGGGCAATCAGCCATCAGCAACAGAAGACCACACCAGGTGCCACACCAGTCAGCTGTGTGATGAGTCTACTGAAACATTTGAATGTTCAGAATTTGGCATAAACAACATGTAATAGCTGCCATCAGCCGCAATCCAAATGCTTTACAGCACGGCAGATTTTAGAGCTCAGTGTATCTTTGTTTATTACCTTAATTTCCTTAAAGATTGGTTATGTAGATTACTAATGAATACAAATATAGAAAAGTTGATCAGTTTAAAAATATATTATATCCATGTCATCCTCCTTATGTGTAGCAGTTGGTCCTTCTAGTACTTCATTGTCCATCAAACTAGTCTGGGTCTTTAATTATGTATCAGGTCATAATAATTGAACAATTTGTCCATTTTATATATGTTTTATTAATTAAAAACAGGTCTATGATTTTACAAACAAGCTTTTACACTCGAAGAACAAACACTCATATAAAAATACATCTAAAAAACTGAAAATGGTAAATGTGAAGCTGCTGATATGTTTGACATATTTATCTACTGTACATATTACACCTTTAAATTCGTACATGTGCAGTCTTTGTTAGCTACAACAGTTTTTTTGTTTCATTACTTTTTAATACAAAAATATAATTTGAGATGCATGCTCTTAAGAGCAAATGAAGGATGTCCACTACAGAGTAGTGTGATGCTTAGCCAGCAGTTGCGTAATGTCTGTCTGACACGTGGACTGGTCAGCGGGACATCATTCGCACAAACTCTGAAAGAGACGAGAAAAGAAGTGAGAGAGAAACAGAGGAGGATAAACACGATCAGTCAACTGATCCCATCAAGGCCTTCCCACACCTTCAAAGTCCACCAGGCCATCTCCGTTCAGGTCAGCGTCTTTGAGGATCTCGTTGATCTCTCTGTTAGTCACTTGTTCTCCCATCAGCTTCTTCATGGCCTCACGCAGCTCCATTAAACTGATCTGGCCATCACCATTAGAGTCAAACTGGATACAGACAGAAAGAAACAGTCCTTTTAAGCACAATTATGAATATTCTTCAATTATTTACTTATTATATTTATTGTGTTTTGCTCATGCATTTGTGACTTTAATTACACAAAATATTAAAGTTTTATAATCTAGGAAATCTTCATTTTTAACAGAAATATTCCTCATGCATTGTTGTAGGTTTGTCGGCCACTAACATGATGAGAAAAATGCCCTGAAAGGTCAAATGACAACTAAAAACAGTGAAGGTTTCTTTCCTCTCAGACGTTTGTTTTGCACTTACTGTGTTTCTTTTTGGATTCATTTGCTGTAGCCTAACCTTCATAGCTCTCATTTCTTTATATGTGAATATATTTTAGTATTTCGGACCTGTTTGGCCTTCTATAGCAGGAAAAATGAAGGTGTCATTAAACACAGATGTGTTTGTTTTTGTTGGTTTGTGTTGTGTATCTGTATGTTTTTGCTTATTGTTTTATGTTTTATGTGACCTGCCCTGGGACATAAGGTGACGTTTAATATTTTTGCTATGAACTGACATGCTGACATCTAATGTATCTGGTAAATTGATGCACATTAACATACAGTATACTATTCAAAGGTAAAAATGAAGTGGCTCTGTTTGCTATTCCAGTGAGTGAGCATGCACAATGCCAGGATCCTGAAACGGTCTAACCTGAGTGAATCCAGCCATCATTAAACTATGCATACCTGTGATTTTTCTGCTATGAAATGTCACAATATCTGCTGTGAAAAAAGCCTACCTCCCACTTATGGTTACAAAGATCGGCCTGTCTATTTGAACCCATAATGAAGGTCTGCAAAGGAGAAATGAGCTTGACTTGTTCCATAAACAAACTGCACAGTAATAAATGATTATTTTTATCCAAGTTTCATTCCAGAAACTCCTGCGTGCTTCTATTTCTTCTTTTATATTTGAAGGGTTATGCTTAGTCTTATTTGTTTATCGTTCCCAATGGATTCTGATTTACAGGCCTCCCCCACAACTGATATTTTCATAGCAGCAAAGTCACATGCTACAATCCAATGCTGCTGTTAATAAAGTCACTACAATTAAATTTATGTTTAGGTCTTTATGTTGTAAATGACAGCATGTCTCTTGACCTCTTTGAATGCGTCTCGCAATTCTTTGACTCCGATCATGTCAGCTGTCTCTGCCAGCATCTTGGGTCCCATCAGCTCTACAAAGTCCTCAAAGTCCACTTTACCGCCACCTGAAACACACACACACACACACACACACACACACACACACACACACACACACACACACACACACACACACACACACACACACACACACACAGTTGCCATCTATTTCCACTCTGTTCTGCTGTCTCGTGTATTTTAGGCTGTTGCTGCACTCACAGATCTGCTGGCTCAGTTCAATGAGCTCCATCTCTGTGGGCATGTATCCCATAGTCCTCATACACTCGCCCAGGTCTTTGTGACTGATGTAGCCATCTTTATTCTTATCAAACTCCACAAATGCCTCACGGAGCTCTGGTAAGACACACACACACACACACAAACACGCAAAACACGTGTTATTACTGGTAAGGCGGGTATCATATCAAATGCATGTACAGCTAAAAAAAGCGGATAAATCACCTCACCTTCGATCTCCTCTGGCCGCAGCTCTCTGTCCTGCCGTGGGGAAAGTTTTCACATATTAGCTTCATGTTTCACACAGTTATAGATTTCCCCTCACCTTGCAAACATTCATACTGAAAATATTCACAATGTTTGTTTGGCAATAAGACAATAAAAAGTAAACGCAGGCATTGAGGAGCACAATCTAAGCACACAGACATACAGCTTGTGTCACTTAACACGTGATGCTAGACAGAGCACAGATGAAAAACAGAAGCACCAAGTGAAACAAAACAGAAAAGATGAATAATGAGAGGAAATGTTAAATATTTTTTGTTATGTATAATTAGCGTCTTGACGTTTGGCCAATGTTTTTGGACAAAGATTCATTTTTTGAGAACTATGAATCACAATGATATTTATGTTCTTTTAACTCCAGGGTGTTGCACATCAATGAAATGCTGAAAATGATCCCTAAGCTGCATTAGATAGAAAGCTCCAGGGCATCTACATGGATTAAACCGTATATCTGATTATTGTATGCTGGGATTCCTGCACCATAGATTACAGTGAGTACCCAGATTACTTTTTGGAGGATGCCAGGCTGCAAACATCTAGAGACTAGGACATGTCAGAGGTTTAGTTTTAGGAATATGTCCACTGTCCGGATGTATGTGTCCGTACACTAAATATATACATTACTCAAGCTTGTGTGTGTAACCCGAATTATTATTTGATTGCATTTGTTTTGATCAAATTCTCATTTTCACACAGTAAAAGAAATCCTGACAATAAAAGTAGAGCAAAGCAGCGTTGTGGCTAGCATTCCTTCCAGCAAGAATCCCCAAGCGTTCCCAGAAGTGTTGCACTTCCACTTTGATGTGAAGTTTTCTATTCCAGTTGCCCCTGTTTGGGCAGTCTATTATTTCTCCTAATCCAATTAAAAAAACATCCACTAAAAAGGTTTAGACCATTATTTTATTTTATTTTTGTCTTCACCTATATGAAGTGAAGCAAAGGCCACAGGTCATCAGTGTGATTGTTTCACAGTTCACACAAAGGCCTGCATCCTTTCTTTACCAAGGGCACGTACAAGCTCCACAAGGCCAGTCAATGATTTTCCAATGATCTCTCAGTGATTGACCCCTTTAAGCTTGCCCGTTGCCTGGGGATTTTAATTGTCTGACCCGAGCCACTAATGCAGGGGGGGATGACACAGCTGGTAAAGAGCAGGAGGGTCAGCCACGATGTGGGGATGAAAATGAATCGGCACAAGTGGAAAAAGTTGCACTTTGGCTGTGGTAGGACACAGTGTGCACACTTCTGTGACTTCCTGTTACATACGAGCGTCCTAGCAAAGCCCTGTTTAAGGAAGATGCAGGCCGGGCCCACGATGTTGTGCAGCATGTTGCAGTTCTTCACCAGCGCACCGAGGGACTCCTTGAACGGTTTATCCTCTACATCCAAATCCTCATCTCCCTCCAGCTGCTGGCTCATTGCCCTCACCTTACGATGGAAGCGCCAGTGTATCACCCGCTTTGGAAGCAGATCAGGGTGTTAAACCACCAAACTTACTGTCCGTCACACCAAATGTGCGACTGATCAAGCAAGTCAATATCTTTTCAGAGGCAAAGTAAGACCCCTGCTTTTCTACAGTCAAACGTTGGAAAGGCAATAAGCCAGAACTATAGGATAGATACAGCTGCTCATTATTGCAGGAGGCCCTCATCAGCCTCAGTCCTCACTGTGAGAAACCAGTTTGATTTGAAAATAATCTATAAGTCTCAATCCTGCTGCTGCAGCTTCAAGCTGCTGAAACTAGCTGATGTGAGTTTGCTAATTCTCTAGTGTAAAGACTGACAGCTTAACTACACGTCAGTAAGTAACACGGCTACAATAGTAGGAAGCAGTGAACATTACAAGTAACAGTAAAAAAAAGCTAAATAAATAAATATGGCAATCATGGATCTAAAATCACTATTAAAATAAATGCAAGCATTGATAAGCTCATATATATATATATATATATATATATATATATGGATTTTGTATTTATTTATCCTTTAAAATGCATAAATAATCTTGAAAAAAGTATGACAAATTAATTTTAATTATTAAATGGAGGATAATTAAAAAATAAGGAATAAATGAACAAAAACTTATTTTCTAAAACAAGTGTGGACAGTAAATAAAAAGGACAAATAAATACAGATCCAAATACAAAGAATATACATTTTTGTAAAATTAATTTATATGTTTTAAAATTTTAATCTAGTCTTACTTTAATCTATTATTTTGATCTCTTTAATTTGCACGTTTCGATTTTCTGCACACAAACAGTGTGTCCTTAAATAGCACTTTAAGTGATGCAGTCTGTATACTAAGCTTTCCTGTAACTACCATAAAAGGAAACAGTTTCACTGGTGGAAAAAAAAAGGAAAGCGTTAGAATTTCGACAATATATTTTTTCCTGTTTTCTTAATTTACATGCAATCGTTAAAATGATACAGTGAGACAACATCCAAAGAAAGCTGCGGTTGTCACGGAGGCAAAAAGCTTCAGTCAGCGAGTGCAAGCAAGAGGATTAAGCTGCAGTGAGTTCGAATCTAACAAAGAGGAGATAAAGTACACTTACCTTCTTCATTTTATCGTTCAGAGATGGTTTGTTCCCCATTACCAGACCTCCCCTGTCACTTTTCTATGTTCCTATTTCCCTGCGCTCTTCTTCTGTGGACTTCTAAAGTCAAGTTCAAGCTCACAAGCTAAAAAATCCCTCTGAGTTTCCCATTCTGGTTAATAGTCATCATATTGGATAAAACAGAGATGGAAAAAGAGGAACGGCCCTCATCCATTCATGGTCATCTCCACTGACCCAAACCAAACTGAACACATTACCAAATGATCTTCCCAAAACAAAAACAAACTGGATGACTGAGCAGAAGTGGAGCGCACTGAACACAGCTCGCTTATGTGTCACTCCACAGAAACAGCATCACTCTCGGCTCTTCACACGGTGCTTTTAATCCCCCCCTCATTCCTCTCTGTCACTCGGTCTTCCCTCCCCCCTTTCTCTCTCTCTGTCTCATGTCAACATGTTGCACGAGCATTCAAATGACTTCATCTACAGTGTGAAGAGTTTTAAAGGGAGAATTAAGAGGACACGAACGGAGCAGGATTAATCCATGCCCTTTCAGATTAAAGAGGAAAGGGTGATAGAGAGAGAAAAAAGGGAAGAGAATAGATTAAAGACATTCAAAGGAAGAAACGGAAACAGACATACTTTTCTCATGTGGATAAACAAGAATCTAAATATTTTAACTTGGCCTGGAAATAGAGCATGCACTATTTGAAACCATAAATATTAAAAACAAGATATAAAACAAATTCTTGGCTAAAGATGAATATCAGAGGTGAAGAACACCAGAGGGTTTTATTACTTTAGATGTCTTAAGGCTTGGACTTTTTGTGGATTACATATCACTGCATGTGTGCACTATGTGGTATTAAAGAACACATGATGTAAAATGAATGTAAATATGATGATGTTTGTCACATCAGGTTGACCTCTTGTTGCCAGTAGGAGTGCTATAGCTGTTACCTAATATCAACGTCAGGCTGGGACAAACTGGACAGTGTACGCTCACTGGCCTCTTTATTAGGCACACGGTTTCAGCTTCTCATTAACACAACATTTAATCAGCCAATCACATGGCATCAACTCAATAGGTTTAGGCATGCAGAGATGGTCGAGGCGACCTGATGAAATTCAAACTGAGCATTGGAATGAGGAAGAAAGGTGATGTTAGTGACTTGGAATGTGGTATGGTTGTTGGTGCTGACGTATTGGGGTTTTTGGATTTTCCCACACAACCATTTCTAGAGTTTACAGAGAATGATCCAACAAAGAGAAAATATCCAGCGAGTTCAGTGCTCTGGGGCAAATTGCCTTGTTGATGTAATACCCACTCGTCATTTCTTGAATGTGGCAGAGTTCACTATACTTAAATGACCTCCACAGTCACCGGATAAAACAATGTATGTCAAACATGTGGCATTCAACACATGCAATAAATGCAAAAGGTGCTTCTATATGATGTTCTTCTTTTGGCTTCTCCCTTTAGGCATCACCACAGTGGATCATCTGCCTCCATCTCACTCTGTCCCTAGCATCCTCCTCTATCTCACCAACCCTCTGCATGTCCTCTGCATTTTATTTACAACAATAAAAGAATCTTTCTTTATTACATTTGTTGTTATTTATTATTATTTTATATTTATGATTTATTTATGATGTTTTAGAGTGTGATCCCCTTCTATCAGTGGTCATTTGTACATGTAGCATGAGGGCTAATGCAAAACATAACATGTACGTTTTCATTGCTTTGTCATGTATGTTTAAAACATGTCCAAGCTATTAAGGGTCCCTGTGACACTCAGTTCATGGGCCCCAAAGATCACAAAAATGGGTACAAAGTGTACAAAGTGTACCAAATGTAAAACGTGAAAGTGAAAAAATGAAACCTGCTAAAGTAACAAAAGAAAAACTGAGTGTTTGCGTTTTTGAAAAATATAAGAAGTTGACTTAGCTGTGATTTGTGAAGTATTTTCCAACAAGTATTAGATGTGTTTTTCAATTATGTGGTAATTAAATTAGAAACCAATGGAAAAATACAACAAGTGAGCTGTAATGCTTCACAAAATGACAGCTTATGCAACTCACAGTGAGACCCTGGTGGCGTTCAAGTGCGTCAGCTCACGTCGAACTGAAAAGCACAATGAACTTCAATTTGAACTTCAGCTCTTACATCCATGGACTACTTTGGCTGAGCTGTCAGTTATAATGGCATAAAGTTAAAATCTCAAGTGGAGGTTATGAGAGCAATGCTAAGTGGTCATCTGAGCTTTTACAAAGCATCTGCCGGCAAATCTCTCCAAAAGCAGATTTGGCATGCTGCTTACTACAGTGCATCCATACGGCTCGTGTGTGTGTGCTTCTGTGTGTGTCACTCATCTTTCTGTTTAGTCACATTGTGGGGACTCTTTTAATTTTAGATTTTAGGGTGACGACTAAGGATCAGGAAAAAGAGATTCATAGGGTGTGTGTGTGTGTGTGTGTGTGTGTGTGTGTGTGTGTGTGTGTGTGTGTGTGTGTGTGTGTGTGTGTGTGTGTGTGTGTAAAACACTGCAGGAGGTAGATTTAACTCATCCAGTTTTGGCTCTTGCTGTTCATTCTCCAAATTTGTCTCTCTTGTACTTTTCCGTACTAAATCATACACCCAGTTAGCAGTTTATTATTAGCTATTAGTTGCCCTAATTGATACATACAGTGTGGGGTGGAGAAAATTATAGAAACAGCAGTGGATACATCTACAAGCGTACAGTTGAATGAAATACTACTCTCAGTCAGCAACAAGAAAACATGAACATAGAACACTAGAGCACAATCAGTGTGTGCAGAGAGAGTTCTTAAACTCATTAGCTAAAACTAATGGCAACTCTGCATGCATGCGTTGTCTATTGCAATAAGCTCCAGTGACCACTAGAGGCCACCTTAGGACCGGTCTAACATCAGTATCACTTGCCAGCTGCAGCAGTGGATGTCTGGGAGAGTACCAACTTTTTATTTGCTTGTTTATTTTTTAGGAGATACTTTAGGCAGATTAAGCAGTCATATATTAGAAATGGAAATCTAGATTTCTAGTTTTCCTTTTTTTTCTGCAATAAGACTCTTATTGTGATTGATAAACACGGAATGCCAACACTGGAATTAACGAGTTTGCAGCTTAAGAACGCTTTTGTGGCATGAAGATAGATCACTTCTCTCAAAGAGCTTTCATGTGATTTGATAGAAACAGATTATTTTATTTTACAAAGGTACATGAGGGAGTCACTACAGGAGATGTTTGGGATGTAAAGCTTTTCATCAAAGTGGTGGTCACATGAAAACTGTTTAACACAGTTGCGTGTTTTATACACGTTTCTGTGCAGTGGTTCTTATAATATATAATATATCTTAAAAAAACACACCAATTGTTCTGGGTTCTACAGGGAAAAAACAACAAAAAAGGGAGTTTTTCTTCCCACTTTAGCTAAGTGTTTGCTTAAAGGAGGTCGTCTGATTGTTGTTGTTTTTTTAAATCGATTATAGGGTCTTTTCCTTTATAATATAATGCACCTTTAGGTGGTTGTTGTTGTGATTTGGCTCCTTAATAAGTCAAAATAATAAAATGTGACAAAAATATTAGACGTCATTTATTTTTTAATTGAAAGATCCAGTTTTACACATCTGTGAGGACATGTGGACAGTCGGTATCAGAAGTCTGATAAACACATATCATGTTCTTCATTTACCTCATTCAACTGTGCAAAGATCTACTGAGTTTTAATTAAATAAATATGCAGAAATATTCAAACTTTTAAAGGGTTCACTAACTTTCAAGCACTGCTGCAACTCCTCTAACTGGAGCCCAAGCATCACTTTATAGTGCAGATGTGCTGTGATTTTTCTTGCAAAGCTTTCAGTGCAAGACTTTCTGTATTTTTGATTTGTACCTACAAATCAAAATTAATTTGCAATCAATTAATAATTAACTGTCATTTCTAAGTTTTACATTTTTAGCTGTCTGAGATGGAAAACATATTTCCGAAAGTACCAACCTTGTACAGACTATTAGTATTAGTACAAATTAGTACAAACCTTGAGTAGAGTGTATACAATTCAACCTTCAAACTTACATACATTCATTTAATAGATAAATATGAGTATCAGCTTTTCAGCACATAATATTAGCAGATTAATCACTTCTTTCTGTGAGCTCCACCATGATTCACTCTATTGGCTGCACATTGAAACAAAACTTAACACCAGTAATTGCAACTGAAGACACCATTAAATCTGATTAACTACCAGGTTGGGTCTCTCTTACTGATGGTTATAATTAATCACGTAAATGAGATGGTCTTGAGAAGTGGGCGCACACACACACACACACACACACACACACACACACACACACACACTGTTCCTGGGTCCTGAATACTCTTTAGTTGCTCTTCTCAGGACATCAGCGCTCAGCGACTGTCATGCTTGCAGTCTGTGGTTAATTTGAATGCACACACACTTTTAACTTAACACACCGTGCATATGTGCGTGTGTGCTGTGTGTATGATAGAGATGTGCCATACTCAGGTAACGTGACTCTGTCTTTTGTTTTGGACTCAACATACTCTTGATCTCTGATGTGAGTGTGATCTGGTGTCAGGTGTACATCAGCAGGTTTCCAGAAATGAGAGCTGTCGAGACACCAGGAAACACTAGAAGAGACAGAACAGACAGAAAGTGAAGAAAGGAGGGAAGGAAGAATGGATAGAAGGAAGGAAGGGATGAAAAAAGGAAGGAAGGAAGTATAGTTGTAGAGCTCCCTTAAGACTTAAGACTGTCTAAAATAGAGGCCAGTGCAGAAGTCTATTAAGCCTGCCTCATTTCTAATGGCCAGCAGAGGGAGACTGCTTTGGTTCCAAAATGAAGTCAACAGCATTGTAAGTTTAGACGATAAAACCTGCAGCTCGCTTGGTCTGTGCCCTCAGTGAAAACTTTCTGATGAGTTTATCATCTCACTTGGAAAGTTCAAGTGCATGATGTTTCTTATTAGAGCCAAAACATCAATGTCAATAAAGCGGTGTGTGCTCGTTGTCACAGAATGCCGTGTCCCTTCGTTTGTGATTCACCCTTCCCATGTGGCGGCTAGCTTTAAAAAAAGCTGACAGGATGATAATGATGAAGTCAAAGTTTCAAAAATGTGACTTCACTAACTATTACTATGGTGTAACCATCTTTTATATACAATTCATGCTTCAGACGCATTCATAGTGCAGGAAATGTTTGGTTTAAAGTGAGGATGCTGCACCGTGTGCACATGGTCCTCACTCGCTCACATGAAATCATTGGACTGTCACCTGC